CCGTAAGCAGTGGCAGTGGGAAGCAGTGCGAAGTGCCCCGATGTCCTTCGGATGTCCCACGGATGTTGATCCATCTACAGGGCGTGTCGCCCGGCGTCCCACCACTCGGAGCGATGGCGATCGAAACGGGTTCCAACGCATCGCACCGGTGATCACAGCCTTCTGGCTTACAGTGGAGCTCCAGCAGGGATTCAGAATCGCTCGGCAGCCCAGAGCACCGGCACCACTTCTATAGAGCCACACGCCTCGCAGGACGAAACCATTTCGCTTCGACCAAAAGCAAGCTCACCGATTGGCCGTCAGGGTTCTGAGATGTCCCGGGAACGGGCCGCAATGGAGCGATGAACTCAAGCAGTACGAAATCTTCGGCTGGAGCAGAGCGGCGGCGGCCGCAGCGTTCATCGGTACAGCTTCACTTCCTCCAGCCCAGGCCCCAGGCCAGGCAGCGCCGAGGAAAAGGACACTCTTCTCGTACTTCCTGCGGCGTGACGCGGCGAATAGGGCAGGCGAGCGGCAACGCGGCAACGCCGCTCGGGCGAGGCGAGGCGAGGGGCGCGGTGCGGGTCGGTGGGGAAGCCTCCCGCACCACGCCTCACCCCCTGCCCCGCGCCCGCCGCTTCGACCAACGCAGCGCTGCCCCGCGCTCGTTGGCTGCTGTCCGTAGTTCACCGAGTCGCCGCCACGCAGCGCTGCTCCGCGCGCCGCTCCCAACGGGCGGCCGCCATGACACTTTGGGGCGCCCGTTCAAATTGCGATCTCCGAAACGGGCGTTCGGGGCCACGTGGCGCCCCGCGGCGGGTGTCAAAAGTTTGCTGACAGTTTCGCCGTTCCAACGACACCCGCCTCGACCTTGTGGCTGCAGCGGCGGCGCAGAGAGCAGCGAAAGACGGGGCGGCGTCACTGACCGGGCTCGCCATCGCCGCGCCCAAGTCGCCCAGTGTTCAAACCCGGATTTTGAGCACACCCGTCGTGCCGCCGCGCTGATATGCTCAGGGAAGAACCACCACACGAGTAGCAATCGGAAAATGTGCTTTTAAGAACGAAGACGGTGATTTGCCGGAAAACGGTGTGACCACGCGGTCGTGGTACAGGCGCGCGATTTGGGTGATTTCACTATGAGCAGCCGAATACTGAGTGAAAATTGGGCACAAAAGGGCTGAAACGAGGTTCTCAATGCGCCCTGGGTGTCCCGCACGCCACTGAAACATTGCGGGAGTTTGGCCGACCGCAGTCAGAGAAAGGGAAAGAGAGGACGAGTAGTGCGTGCATCCGACGGACACGTAGCTTATGTCTGGGTCTTAGTTTATCAAGCTAGGCACCCGTCACTCCAACAGCCGTTACAGTTCTTTCTGTGTTCTTTCTGCGGTCATCCATAGATTGGATTGGTTACTCTTTCGGAGCGTTTCGTGCCATCACCGCAACCACCTCGTTACGGCCATGTGCGTCTTTTTTTTCGTTCACGCTGAGGGGTTGTTAGAACGAAGGGGAAGACTAAGTGCCCGCGGTCACTCTATCTCGAACGTAGCCGCTTCTCCGAGAAAGCAAGATGACGCCGGTTCCGCACGAGAAACCTTTGCATTGACCGACGAAGGCGTCGCTATCGATTGGCTACAGTCCACCCTTCACTGACCTCAGTTGACTGCTCGACGCAGCAATGCGCCCTAGAGCTCGCGCCCAGTTCCTGCGCTGAAACGGCCTCACCTGCCAGAAAATGCGCGTTCCGTACAGACCGTAGGCCCAGCGGTGAGGGGGGAGGAGGGGGGAGGCGCGGTGGGTGAGGTGGGCGTGGCGAGGGGCCGGCCCGGCCAATGGCAGCCGAGCGGCCGCCGCGGTGACGCCCTCCTCCCCTCCCTGCCCGCGCTCCTCCCGCCCCTCCAGCCCGCCCGGCCCGCAGAGCGCCGCACAGCCCGGCCTTCCTCCAGATTTCCACTCACGTTCGTCCGTGAGGCTCCAGAATACGGATGAGAACGCGAGGACACTCTGGCCTCGCCGGTGTCGCGCAACACGCAGAACCAGTGCATGTGCAAGGCATCATTTTGAAAAAAAAATGCACTGTTAGTAATATTGCGCGAAGTAAATTAAACGCAACGAGAAAATGGCAAGGGATGGCGACGGACTCGGTCTGTTCATTTTCTGAAGGGCCGTCCGTACTGGCGTTACTCAGGGGGGGCAGCCAAACATTTCCCCGTTTCGTACAAAATTGTCCCCCAATTGCCGGGTGTATGTCTTCACGTTAAAAATGGAGGCCTCTCAGCTCAACGATGATTACCTATGTGTCACTGGGGATGAAAGAGTGATAGTGGGCAATAGAGGCTTAGTCACCTGCTGGACGATAAATCCCTCTCTGTCCAAAATTTGATCATCATCATCATCTTTTTTTTCAAGTGGCGGTATGGTATGTATCGCTACGCTTGGCCGCGGGCACTGCTGGACCGCAGCGCGAAGGGCACACCGTTCCAGAGGGAGGCGGCCGGTGGCCCCACTGCCCTCGTCTATGTCCCTCTCGCATCCGGGGCGTACCGCGGGAGTACGAGGGAGATCGATGCACTATATCGAGAGCCAGCCTGCAGGTGGGCAGCTCCACGCCACGAACATGGCCGCGGGTACCCTGCAGTACCCTGCAGGAGCGCACCACTTTGTCCGTCTTTCTGGGGCCTCCACGGGCACGGACGGCTCTCCCTCACCGCACTGCTTGTTGCGAGAGTGCCGCTCTGGAGTGCCAATCGCGTGTCTCGGCGCGGTGCTCTGCCACCGGCGGAAACGCACGTCTTTTCGCAGCCCGTTCGAGGCACCGGCATGCCTGCCCCGGGGCGAGACATTCCACGACGCGCAGGACGCTGCGACGCGCCGAGCCGCGAAGCTGCGAAGCGAGACGGGTAATTGCGAAACAGCAAAAACCTGGCGCTGTTTTATTGTGCGTCTCTTTCTCACGCAGGCCCGGCGTGCCACGGCGTGCCGCGAGGAGGGCGCAGCGGCAAGGACGACGACACGAATAGCAGGACACGCTTCCCCGCCGCGCCCTCGGCAAGGCAAGGCCAGCCTGGCTCAGGCTACTCGGAACGAGCTGTACACTCAGGGTAAGGTGAGCAGCACGCCAGACAAGCAAGGCCAGGCCGGCTCAGGCTATTCGGAACGAGCTATACTCTCTGGGTAAGGTGAGCAGCAAGCAGCACGCCGCGCGGGCAGCGAGGCGAAGCAGGCCGAGGCGAGGCAGCGAGGCCAGCGTTTTCTCAGGCCGTGCCGTGACGAGCCGCGCCAGCCGGCCGCTGTGCCGAGCGCGGTGCAGCGCGACGCGACGGCAGCGGAGCGCGGTGCGGCGCACGGCACGCGGCAGCAGCGGCAGCTCGGCTCGGCTCGGCCGCATCGCCTCGGCTGCGCTCGGCGGCCGCGCGGCCGGGCTCGTCCTGTTTACGGTGTGCTGCTTGCTGCGCTCGTATCGATTCGGGACCGGGTGGGGGCGGGGAGCGCCGTGAGCGCGGCGGGTGAGAGCCGACCGGGCGGTGAGCGCGGAGCGCGGCGCGACTGGGAGTGGCACACTGCGCAGCGTAGGCACCCTGTGCGAGGCCTGCGTGGCGGCCTGCATGGCACCCGGATGGGAGGAGGGCCTTCACAGCGTGGTGCTGCCCTGCCTGCCCTGCCTGCCTGCGTGATGCCTGTGAGCTGCCAGTTCAGCAGCAGGCTGCCTTCGAACCGCGCCCCCTCTCCCTCGCACCCTACGGGAGCGCCCCGTGAGTGCGAGAGAGACAGCGCGACCGCCAGCGGGGCAGCACATAATTTATGGCTCCGAGGGGAGGGACGGCCGGGACGGCCGGGCCCGCCCCAATGAGTGTAGGGCTGCCGATCACGGGGATTGGAAGAATGGGGGAAGTGTGTAGGGGTGGGGGTGGGGAGGGAGACCAGAGGCTTCTAATTGAAATTCTGTCAATCTTCATTCCGTCCAGCATTGCAGAGCGACGGTGCGTTCACTCAAAGGGGCTTCAGACTTCAAAGAGGCACGCGAGTGCTCGGCGGACACGGCTTCTGCCTGCTTTTGCCCACCCTCGCTATGCCAATACAGAACACTAACGTAGTTTGCAGTCCAGCTGAACACGTGAACACGGTCGCTTTACGCCCTCCAGCCAATGCTCCTCTGGCCTGCGGTAAACAGTGTTTGACAGGACTAATATCCTCTAAAATCGGGCTCGGCGTAGCTGATTCGACGAGAAAACGTCACTCATTTTTCAGTTAGCTTCTGATCTTTACAGCGATAAAAACGATTGCGATTCTCACGCATATGGGCCCGAGACTGAGCCGCTCTCGGCAGAACAAAGCCACCCAAAATAGGTCGAAACATTTGGTTTTGGAGGTCTAATGGAGGTCCTATTTCACTCTCCTGCTTTCACTTCACTCAGAGTTTCCGTCCTTCCCACACTACTGCCAGGAGCCGTCGGAATCAGACTGGAAGAGCAAAGCCACACCAAATCCATGCATTGCGGCCACGCCAGAATCCTAACGCGGACTCGAACCGGACCGACACTCGAACATTCGCCTATGCAAACCGCATGTCGCCTGGGGGTAGGCAACCCATACGGCACCCGTGTAAGGCGCTGGCCTAGCGTCGGGCGCTCCGCTTAATCGTAGTACGGTCCACTGTTCAACAGCGCCTGCGCAACGAGTTCAACTCGGTGGGTAAAGCATGAAAGTGGAGGCAACCGAAATGATTGCAAAAGGTGCTCTAAAACGGCGCTGGTTGGTTTATCGCGCCGTGATCCCAGAAACCAACTGAAAAGCCCCGCGCTTAACCGGCCGAGAAATTTCTCATACTTGAGAAGGACACAAGCACTGTGACCAACTCTACGGTAGAAACAGCTTTGACCTCATTTTATCACGCCTTTTGTTCTGTACCTTTAATTCTGTAAGCTTCATCTCAATGATCAACACGAAATAAAGTTCACACTCTCCGATCCTGCTCAGTTGTGTTGTACAGGTGGTTTTCGCGAGATCCTGTGCCGTGCAAATAGCTGTTTTGCGCTACTCGCAGGTGTACCAAGTGACGTATGTAAACAACGGCGCTGCGTTTTCCCACGTGTTGTCTAGATAAATTTGTAATTTCGGGCAAATCCCGGTCAGTGGAGGACATTTATCCTTATCAAAATGAAGAGATTATCAGAAATACAAACTAAACTCCTTTTCGAAAAGCTGTCGGAATAGTGAGTATTCTGAAACGTCAATGTTTCTTCTGTTAACCTCTATCAGCTAGTCATAGTATATGTTTTTACATTCTCACAATTTCTTTTAAAGTGTCAATCACATGCAACTTCTTACCTTCTATTTAATTTATGTCATTTTTTCATTTTTTGAAAGTTTATATTTGTTATTGTTTTCCGTAATTTTGTCAGTTAAGATTTGGTGTCATAATCTTTCCAAGTCAGCTATGGATTTCAACATTATTCTGTGTGTCTATACTTACCTATGCTTTCTGCCGTTTTGTCCAACAGTATTGGAGCTAACATCAAATCCCTGATTGACCGCCCTGACGGCACTTATTGCTTCAGAGTTCAAAAGGATAGAGTATACTACGTATCAGAAAAAATTCTCTCCTTGGCTGAGAGTGTCGCTCCTGAAAACTTAATTACTTTTGGAATCTGCTTTGGAAAATTCACCAAGAGCCAAAAGTTTTTATTACACATCACAGCTTTAACTTACTTAGCACCCTATGCACAGGTAAGGCGTAGAATAATTATATTTGTTGTGCCAATGTAAAATTTGAATTTTGATTAGACTGCTAATATGGTGTTGACTACCTTATACTGGCTGATCCAGGTTTTAAACCGATTTTAATTAACCTTTTCTTTTCAGCACAAAATTTGGGTGAAGCCATCAATGGAACAGCAATTCTTGTATGGGCACCACATTTTGAAGTCTGGTCTTGGCAGAATAACAGAGAACACCCCAAAATATCAAGGAGTTGTAGTCTTATCTATGGCTGATGTTCCACTTGTAAGTATAAATAGTTTGATTCTTAAAAAATTGCCCGTTTACATGAAAGCTTTGAATTTTTTCTCTATTACAGGGCTTTGGCAAAGCAGCAAAGTCAACAGCTGAATGTAAGCACACAGACCCCATGACCATAGTTTGTTTTCATCAAGCTGACATAGGAGAATATGTGCGATCTGAGGAGTCTCTTTTGTAAGCCATAGTTATGATCATTAAAAGTATTTTAAGATTTATAAGCTGCTTTCTTTAGAATTATTCTGTACAACCCTTCATAGTCTTAATAAATTTTTGTAATAGGAATTAACTCAAATTTTATTAATAATAATTACACAGATTTATACAATTGAAAACTGAATTTGCTACATTCATTAAAAGAATCAACTTATTAACGTCCAAACGAACGCTCTTGTTCCATTTCATACACATCCTGTTGCATGACTTGGTAGGTCTGCGTCTCAGTTGGGATGTAATACCAGTGTTGATAGTCACCACGATTTGCCTGTAGGGTTTTAACTTCATTTTCAATTTTCCTATAAGAAAACAATTTTATCAAAATGGTTTCATAATCGCACTATCACAGGTGACAATCATTTTAGTACTTACGCATACTGGGACTTGTCATAAACCTCCCAGATATAATGCATATGCCTTTCATAGGCTTCTTGCTCGCCCTCCATTATGTATTTCTTAAAAAATCTCGTAATTGGATGCTGCACAAAAAAGTGAAAAATGCTTAGAAAAGGTTCAACATTTAAAAAAAAGAATTCTGCTATCATTTAATTGTTATGTACAGTAGATTTACTTACACGGTAGTACTCATATTCTTGGGGCTTGTAGCCCTCAGGTATGGGAGCTAGTTCAGCAGGGCCAATGAAGAGATTAGCATACAGAGAAATGAGTCCGAGAGGAATGGCTCCAACAAATGTGTAAAAATGCAAAAGATCCTTGAACTTGTGCCACTGCCAGCGGGTCGGTTGGACTACAAACCGGTCGTGGCCACCACCAGACATTTGACGAACTAGGGAAATAGAAACAAGAAAAGAAGCAAAGCACACAAAATTAAAAGGGGGAAAAAATTGAAATATGATAAAGGACCGGTGCTGGGATTTTAGAAAACAAGATAAACATGTAAGAGGGTCAGCTTTGAAATTTAATCGCAAACTAACATAAAATAAGATTTACTTTGTATATCAGCTGACTGTACAAGTGAGGTTAGTAACGCGAAGTATTTTCCTTGTCAAGCATGTAGGAGTTGACAAGTACTGCACTTTGAAAGAAATTGATTTTAATAAACAAGCCACATGATATTTGATTCGAGATACGCGATAATCCCAGGAAATGGTTGTCAAAACAGTCTTATTGGTGAAGGGTTGCAAAGTCCCTGATCCAAGTATTTGCAAGAACCTCCTCCATGTTTATGTCTCCACCCAAGCAAATACTCACTTTGATTGGCATTTTTAGCAGCGGCACGACTGAGAAGTAAACCTGGGGCGGTTTTGGCAGCGAAAACAGCCCGATTTACTGCACTCCACACAGGGGCCATGTTTGCGTCTGCGACCGTCAGGTCGACGAGAGCCTTGAGAGGAAAAGGGGAGGAGTGCACGCTGCGCCGCTGCCCGTGGGCCGGTCGTCTGCGGGCTCGAGTCTGCAGGCGCGGAACCACATTTTGGTGCATGCAACTATGTGAAAACTAAACGCGTGAGACCCAAACAGAGTATTGCCGTGGGTTCTTCAGAGCTTTAAGTGGTGGAAGATTACACAAATAAGTAGAATCTTTTCAAATACAACGCAAAATAAATGAAAACTGTCAGTAAGGTAGCCGCCAAGAGCGCCCTCCGTGGCCAACGGCGAATGGTGGAAGCTCTGGAAGCGACAGACATCGGCCCACGGCTCCGAACGGCAGTTTACGGCAAATTATTTATATTTAGGATTTTTTCTCTCAAAATTTAAGTTGATCTTCCACTAGTTCAAGTTTTTCTGTATTCAAAAAAAATTGCCCGTGACCCTTTTGAAATCAGCCGTAGCCTAGCGAACCTGCACCAATTAGGTCTGCATTTTCGACCTACTTCTCCTCCCCTGTTCCTCCAAGCGAGAGCTCAGCAGACACCCAACAGATGGCGCGCGCGTCGCTAGCAGAAGAAAGAAGACCCGCATCGATCAATGACTTCACACTGGCCGTGGTTTCTCGTCACAAATTCCGTAACCAAAGTCCATTCTCCGAATTCCCTACCGAGTGGCAAGCTTCTCCTCGAGCACATCAAACCCAACGACACTTGGTGGCGGGACGAGGACGCACGGGAAGCAATTTCTGCGCCGCGCGGAGGGTGTTATTATCATCGCCGAGGTGGGATCTAGGGGGCGAGGGCCAGATATGCCCCCAGTCTAGCAGCCGACGCGAGCGCGGCGGCGGGGCGGTACGGCGGGGCGGTACGGCGGGGCGGTACGGCGGGGCTCGGCCGGGCCGGACTTTGAAGGAAGTGACAGTAGGCTGCGGGGCTTTGCTGGGGACGGGCGGGCGCGCGAGGCAGGGCACAGCATGGCGCCCGTTGATGGCAGTCAATTCTGAACAGCCGGAGGCGGGAACGCCGACCGCGGAGGTACTTCCCTCGCCCCCCTAGCACCATGGCGTCCTCTGGGCCTGGCGGCAAGGTGGACGAGAAGAGCTACATCCTGGAGGGACAAGTAAGTCGCCTTGTTCAACAGGTTGGGTTTCGCATGCTATATCTGCTTTGCATGGCGTTTGCTGCTGGATCGTTGCAGCCCTGTCAGGGCTCGTCTTCGCAGAGCTGTGCGTCGAGGCGTTTCAGACATCCAGCTTCGATGAAAAGTCGTGTCCTTCGGGCCCCATATGGTCTTTCTGCGGGGAAAGGCGAGGAAGGGGGGACGCCGATGTACTAGTCTAGCGATTCAAGCTACTATAACTTTCCCGCCACTTTATCGAATTGTGCGGCCTTCCACGAGCCCAGTTGACTCAGCCAAGTGTCATGTGTCCTCGGACGTCTCATCAAATATTGTGCGTCCCGTTGTCAATTCAGACAGACTAGCGGTAGCGGTATTCTCTGAGGCGATCAAAGCCCTATCCCTCCAGGAGCAGCGTCGACCATTGCCTACACGACGGCCCGGCACTGTTTGCCTATCGTAGTGGGGCCTCTGCCCCGCCCGGCCCCGCCCCCTCCAGCACGCCTCTCTAGGTGTTGCCTTGCTGCCTCGCGCCCCATGCATAAGAACCAGCTGCCGGCTCTGTCTAGTCTCTAGCCTCGCCGCACGTCGCGGTTACGTAACGCGCCGGAACATTTTGTTGTTCAGGACTCCCATCCCATTCGCACCGCATCTATTCCAGATAAATCCAGTTTGCGCTGGTATGGCTCGGAGTGGACGAATCCCCTCCCCTCCTACTCTCTCCTTCTGGCATGAATGGCAGATGCCGCTACGGCGCGGGAAACAGTTTGAGGAACCCAGCCAGCACGCTCGCGATTCGCTCGCGATACAAGGAGACAGCGCGGGTCTAATGGCTTGGCCAACAGGAATTTTCGTCTCTTTACTCAGCTCTCGCTGTTCGCTATCTGCTGGAGCGCTCCCCCCCCCCCCCCTTTCCGGTGCGCCGCTCCAGACTCCGTCAACCGGCGCCGCCCCTCCCGAGGCAAACGTCACCGCTCCAGCTGGAACTCCGGAACGGCGTTCCAGCTTCCAGCGCTTCCAGGTCCCAGCGGCCGGCCCCACAGGCCTCGTGGGCTGGATGCGTCGCTCTGTCTCTGTCTCTGTCGCGCCCCCTGACGGGGAGACCCCTGACGGAGCGCCCCCGTCCCGTGAGTGCGAGAGAGACAACAAGGGGCGGCTCGGCCGCTCGGCCTGCTGGCGGCGCCTTCGCCATTATCGCCGAGAGTGAGAGAGAGAGAGAGAGAGAGAGCAGGGTGACAGGTACAGTATCGGGCACTGGACACCCGGGCAGGGCCGGTCTGGCCAGCCGATAGTCGGTGAGCGGCACTCTGTTACTCTGTTGGCCTGGGTTCGGTGTGGCTGGTGCGCTGCTGCCGAACTAAGCGGGACGCGTTTCAATTTTCCAATTAGCGATCAAAAGCCATCCCGTGTCGTGCGCGCCGTGAGCTGCGAGCCCGTGAATTCAACAGCTGTGCGCTGCACACGTTGATGGCTTCCCCGCGGGCGCTTCCCCCGGAGTTCATTTGTCTGAGTGGGGGGGGGCGGGGCGGGGCGGGGCGGACATGTCCCCAGGGATCATCCCCCGCAATATGCGTACACAGCTGCCGACTCTGCGAACTACCCCCACGCGGCACGGCGCGGCATGGCGTGGCACGGCGCAGCAGCGCACCGAGTCCCGACTCTTCCACAGGTCCGTGAGGCCAGGCCGGTGAAGCTTCTGCCGCCCCCCGCCGCCCCGCCGCCCCGCCGCCCCGCAGCCTCGTCCAGCGGCTTCCCTCTTCCCGCCCCTTCACCGCCCCTTCCCGCCCCCGCCGCCGGCCGAGACGCTACCTCGCCGCGCCACGCCCCGCGCCGCCCCCGTGCCGCTCGCCTCTCCACTCCGCGGCCCCGGCGCGGTGCGCGGTGCTGGGTGCTGCGTGCTGCGGGCCTATCCCGGCACCCCGGCCGACGCAGCGACTCCCACGCTCAGCGCGCTAGCGCGCTCAGCCCGCACCCCGGTTGCCCGGGCAACGGCTGCGGTGTGGATCGAGAGGGGCGCCATGCCTGGCCATGCCTGGCCATGCCCCCGGCGGGGGGCGCAGGGGGCGCAGGGGCGGCGGGACCCTTTGCCCTTCCGCCGTGCCTGTCATGGCCGGGCTGCCGGGCTGCCGGGCTGGCCGTGGTGACCCCCTTCTGGGCCTCCACGGTGCCGGGCTAGTGCCGGGCTGAGGCCGCCCGGATGCTGGAGCACCCAATCACCGCCCTAATTGCAGCCGCACCTCGCGCCGCCACCACCCTCCCAGCACTGTGAGAGGCCTCTCTCTCGCACTCATGGGGCGCTCCGTACCAGTGCGAGAGAGATAGACCGACGGCCGCTCTGTGCGGAGGCACTGCCAGCACGGAGACAGGGGCCGTAGGTCGGGGCGGTTGCTTTGCCTGCCGACTGATTACTCGGCACAGCGCTCCCTCTCACCTGGACGGAACGCTGCACGAGTGCGAGAGAGACAGAGCGACGACGGCGTTGGGGCACCTTGTCTGCGGTCTTGGTGGCGGTGCGGGGGATCGGGTTTCGCGTGGTTTGGCGCGAGTGCGCCGCAGCGCGCACGTGCAGGATGGAGGATGCCTGAGGATGCTGCAGCAGGCAAGCAGCTCGCCGAAGTAAGCGGGATCAAGTGGGAGGGAGAGACGCCGCGTTAGTACAGCCTGCAGCCATGCTGCAGCCCGGCTGGCTGGAGCCGAAGCTCGAGCCAAAGCCAAGGCCTCGGCGCTCGGCGGCGCGGGGAATCGTTGGCGCGGTTTGGGCGTTTGGGGCTGGCGATGCGAAGCGTGCGGAGCGCGAAGGGGTGAGTCGGACGCAATATGCCAAGAATTCTCATAAGCGCGGCCCTCGTCCATGTCCTGGCCGTCCTGGCGGGAGAGGGGTGGGCGCCAGCGAGCCAGCCAGCACAGCCAGCGCAGCCAGCGCAGCTAGCGTGCTTCCAGGCGGCGTCGCGACGCCCCACGTCAACAAGTGGGGGAGGGAGAAGGAGGGGAAGGGAGGGGGTTCGGTCGCGGCGCGGTGCGTCGTCGGCCGATGCAGGTGGAGGCTCTGGGCTTTGGGCCGCAAACGCGTGTTGATAAGGGCCGCAGTTCCCGGCGCCCTGTGCGCCACATTGTGGTCGAACCGGATCAATGCAGGCGCGAAGGGCTCGAGGGAAAGAGGGGGGGGGGGAGGGCTGTAACAATCGCACAACGCGCTGCCTGGATCCTTGTTGCTCCACTGGTTGCGTGGGTGGAGCGGAGCAGGGTGGAGCCGTTTCGGGGTTCGCGACGCGAGCCGAGTGACTGGCTGGAGGGGTTCATGACCACAACCACACGCCACACACGGATGCGTTTTCTGCTTCGGGCCTTCGGGGCCGACGACCCTCGTCGCTTGCTCGCTTGCACTCCCCTTGCCCTGCTTGAAACCTGTCCCCGCAGTGCCCGCACAAGGCACAGGCCGCAGGGACTGCAGGGCTTCCCCCGGGGCCGGCCCCTGTGCCCCGTCCTGTCCCGGGCATGGCATGGAACGGAACCATGATGGAACACGGAGCCTCGTTCTGGCTCTGACTTGCCCTGCAGGGCAACTAGCAGGGCAACCGCCCCCACCCCGTCCCGTTGTCCTGTGCGCACGCGCTGCGCACGCGCCGTGACCTTGAATCCGCCGGGCACGGCACGTCACGCCACGCCACGCCACGCCAGTCCCGGGACCCATCCCTTTCTCGTGCAATGCGCTGTGCGTGTGTTTGGAAACGCCTCGCTCGAGGTGCCCTTGTCGCCCTTGGCAGTAACCCAGACTGCCCAGACAACCTAGACAACCCAGACCCAGAATCAGTATCACCGACAAACCCAGGGCCCGCCAGCCTGACCCAAGGCCCAGGGGTGAACGGATCGAGCGCTTATCTCAGTCGCAGTCTCGGTTACACCGTGGGCATCGGCTTTGACACGCCTGAGCCTTTTCGCGGCCTTTCTGGCCCCTGACCTCCGTCTACTTTGCGAGCCTCTCTTGGCGAGCCTCTCTAGGCGTGCCTCTCCAGACGCACTCCTTGGGCGCGCGTCTCTAGCGTCTCTAGGTGTGCTGCTGCGTCCGCTGCTCGGCCCACCATAAGCGCCGCGAATGGCAGCCAATGGCAGCCCGCCACGGTCCGGCGCACCAAGTGTTGCCTACCGCGACGGCGCTCGTGGAGGCTCTGGCCCCGCGCTCCCTGGCCTGGCATCTCGGCGCAGGTTCTCACGTTTGGCTCCGTCTGTTGCAGAGAGGCAGTATCGCGTCGGATGAGTCTCCGAATTCCTTGCTGGAGGCAGACACCAAGCAGCTCGTCCCGTCCGTAAGTATATGGCATGAATGTCAAAGACAGAAAAAGTAGACTGTTGATATATATATTGGGAATGTTACCATTGAACCGTCCTGAAGCTCAAACAGTATTTTCCCCCTCTTTTTCAGGCCTCAGATGATGAATTGGCACGGAGTGGTCTCTTGTCTGCCAGCTTCAACTACATCAACTCCATCATTGGCAGTGGCGTCATTGGTAATGACTGACATGTTTTCCAATAGGTACTTTTTTACTTCCTCATTTTGTGTATTTGACGTGTATGGTTTTCTGTTTCTTAGGCATACCCTATGCACTGCATCAGGCTGGGTTTGGTCTGGGTCTACTCTTACTGGTGCTTGTGGCCATCGTGACAGACTATTCCCTGGTGCTGATGGTCCGCAGTGGGCACATTAGTGGAGCTTATTCATATCAGGGCCTCACTGAAGCAGCTTTTGGAAGGGCAGGTTTCATTCTCCTATCATTCCTGCAGTTTGTCTATCCATTTATAGGTATGTATCATCATGATATCATTGTCTATTTGTTTTTTAAAGTATGTTTGGCTTATTTTGATGTGTCTTTATTTCTATTTCAGCTATGGTAAGCTACAATGTGGTTGTTGGGGACACAGTAACAAAAGTTTTCATGCGGATCTTCCATCTGGAAAGCACGTCGATCATGGCTCAGCGTTGGCTAGTCATTGGCTTGGCCACAATTTTTGTCACGATTCCCTTATGCTTGTATCGTGACATTGTTCGACTGGCCAAGATTTCATTTCTATCGCTCTTTTTTGTTTGTCTCATTTTGGTCACAATATTCTATCGATTAGTAACGTTGAAAAATGTTGTGTAAGTATGTTTAAATTTGTATCCAAATTTTCTTTCTTAAAAAATATTTAATAATGTGATTTATTTCTCTGTTTTACAGACCTTCTACTCCTGATGCATTCCAGTTTGCTAATTGGGACATAATCCCTGCAATAGGGATAATGTCGTTTGGTAAGTAAAACATTATTGTGTGTGGGTTATATTAAAGATTTTCTTGTGATTTATCTTTATTTTCAATTTAGCTTTCATGTGCCATCACAACACATTTTTGATTTATGGTTCTATTGAAAATGCTTCCCAGAAGAAGTGGGACAGAGTAACTCATGCCTCCATTTTTGCATCATTCATTGTTTCTGCGATGTTTGGGATTGCTGGGTATGCTACATTCACCGGCTTCTCTCAAGGTACTTATGGTTCTTTTAATTTCTGAGACAAGACTTTTTAAATAACATGCCAGTCATACCAATGCATTTATTTTTTCAGGGGATTTGCTTGAAAATTACTGCTGGGATGATGATGTGATGAATGTCTCTCGACTTATGTTCAGTGGTACAATTCTGTTGACATACCCTATAGAGTGCTTGGTTACTCGGGAGGTGGTCATTAACACATTTTTCCCAAGAGACAAAGACTTGGGTGATGATCGAGCTGCTTGGTATCGACATGTGGCCATTACATTGGCTATTGTCACAATCACCTACTTCTTATCAATGTCAACAGATTGTCTAGGAGTTGTACTCGAGTTGAATGTAAGCACTTACCTATTATATTGCTCATTATAAAGATCACATTTATTGTTCTAAAATTTGCATTTTATTTTTCTAGGGAGTTCTAGCTGCAGTGCCACTAGCATTTGTTCTCCCTGCTATATGCTATTTAAAATTAGAGCAGGGATCAATTTTCTCTCGACAAAAGCTGCCTGCTGTTGGCCTAGCTCTCTTCGGGATTGTTGTTGCTGGAGTTGGGTTGGCTCTCTTGATCATGAACTTTACTGATCTAGATACCTGCCGACATGGGAAAGGTCTTGATTATTGTTTCAATTCCACAGTCCCTACATAGACAGCAGTACAAAATATGGCCTCAATATGAATTTGTGTTTATTCTTTAATTCTATTACTACTTTATTAGTCATTACTCATCAAATTTTCAAAAGTAATTTAAAAATTTGAGGATTCTTGATTCTTGTTACCTTGAATTGCAATCATATCTTTTCTGTTTTTCTTTGAATGACGAGCTATTGTTGGGTGAGCAGAACTAGTCGTTTCAACTTAAACTACTGTGTACCTTGGAGGTGGTAGTGTACCATATTTATTCTTATTGTTAAATGAATAAAAAGTGCAGTGTTGTGCCTTCTGCAAGAGCAAGTCTTTCTTGGCAGTGGGCTACAGGAGGGAGTTATAAATGCCTACAGAAAATTCAGAAGATTTGTGAAACATTTACATTGATGCTTTGTAATTGTATTATTTATTATGTGAGCTACTAATAGATATGTTTTATGTTATTTGTGATATTTTTTATTTATGAAAACAATGGTATACTGTGTATGCTTTTGAGAAAGCTTTTTAAGCAGTTTCATTTTTGGTGCTTATTTGATTTGTTCCAGTTCTTGAAAACTTTTGTGTGATCTAAGGGACTGCCTGAAATATTGCATTTCAGAAAGACAACCCTGTCCTAGCAAGATAAAGTTAATGAAATAAAGTTGTTGGATTTTCTCTGGCTGAGTGCCATTGATGAGCCATCTTTTGGACAAAGTTAGAAGCTTTACTTATGTGCCATAATATCTTCAAAGTTCTAGGCTTTTATTTTGGATTTTATTCTCCTCTTCTTTGACTGCATTTTCTCATCTTTTTCTAGAGACAAACTGTCAACTTTTGAAGTCATCTCAGTGTAAAAAATTGTGAGGGATGCCAAACTTAATCGGTGATTTTAATTTCCAATCCGTCGACAAGATATTCCCTCATAATTGACGCACATAGGCAAGGATTAAGTCCTCTTTATCAGTGCTTACCAAAAAGATTTGAGTAAAACTGTGATATGTTGCCTAGTGTATGCAATATTAATTTTACCATGTGCAGTGACTGCAATCATCTGTGCCGAATTCCCTTTTTCAGGTGTGCTTATTTTGAATTTTTTTCATGTAACAAATTTATGCCTTGTGGCAGCCTTCTATCTAAATTTCATGTTTGCACTATGCACACAAGTGAAATTTTAACTCTGTAGACTTGTTTAGAATTGAAATAAATTAAAAACTTCCAAAATCACATTTGGAGCCTCTGTTATTTTCCTATGATTATTTCTTCCGATTGCTACCCAAATAAATTTCAACTTTAGCAATTGTCACTAAACGTGTTTTTTTTTTGGTACAACCAATAAATGGCTTTAAATTCTGGCGCGTCGGAGACGACGACGCGCAGAAATTTGTCATATCCCGACTGCCAATAACGTTATTGTTGTTGTTCATGCTGTTGTTGTTGATGTCCATCCCACCACATGTACACAATTTACCTTGGGTTTGATCCAATACTTTGCACTTATCCAGGGATTATCATTGAATTGTAGCCGGTCAAGAAGGTAATTCAAAAGACGCTGTGACTAACACATAGCTTCCTTAACTTGTCCTTTCTTCCAAACTCTCTCAGAATCTCTTTAACACGGAACCTAACCTCGTTCTTGTCATTTGTATCCTCTCAAAGTCTTTCAAGATTCGTTCAAGAAATTTTAAGTTTATATTTTTATCTACAGCTTCAACGATGGGTGACATGGCGAAAGATGGACGATTCTCGCACATTGCGAGTGATCCCAGGTTCAAAACAATTCCTCGTTCTCAGCGGCAAGTTAAAATTGACAAGCGTTTCCAAGGAATGTTCAAAGATGAACGTTTTAAAATGAATTATACTGTAGACAAAAGAGGAAAACCCATCTCCCGTACTTCAAATGAAGACCTAGAACGTTATTATGCACTATCATCTAGTGAATCTGAAGAGGAGGAAGACAACGACAAAGATAGTGATGACAAAGATCATCCATCCATTTTGCCCCAATTAAAGTAAGTAAATCCATTTATTACTGTTCTTTCTCACATACTATCTCTTGTAATAGTCTCATCAATCTATTTTAGAAAGCTTGCCTCCACGTCCAAGAAATCTGAAGAACTGGAGACTGGTAGTTCAGATGTTGAAAGTGCATCCGGTAGTGAGGCAGAAAGTGAACCTGATGCCTCGGAAGATGACCGCAAACTTGAGGATGCGACTGAAAATCTTAGTGACAAAATCAAATCAAAACTGCATGATATGTCAGTGGATTATGCAAGAGGAGAAGGAGCAATTCTTTCTGACAGCTCCTCAGATGAGGAAAGTAGTGACGAAGGTAACACTTTTCAAAATATAAATTTAATGAAATCATGTAATGACCGCTAAATAACATGAAGTACTTTTGAGAATCCTTTTCTTTTCTAATTAATAGACCAGGATGCAACTGTTGAACATGGTTGGGGCGAGCTAGATCGAGATGCTGAAAGAGCAGATGACATAACACACCGTCTCGCCGTCTGTAATATGGATTGGGACCGGATTAGAGCAGTAGATCTAATGGTTCTTTTAAATTCATTCACTCCTCCTGGGGGCCTCATTCGTTCCGTCACAGTTAGTATATTACCTCATGAACCTTGTTTTCTTGATTTTTAAAACAATATCAAACATAAATCATAATTTTAATTTATTTGTGTTAGATATACCCATCAGATTTTGGATTGAAAAGAATGAAGCTGGATGAAGAGGAAGGCCCTACTGAACTCATTGAAAATAGCTCCAGGAAAAAGAATAAGGATGGTTTTAATTTAAGTCAAGATGATGAGCCGAAAGATGATGGTGCTAGTGATGACGATGACGATGATGGTAGTAGTGAGGAAACAAGACCAGAAGATGAGGTAAGTTTCTGGACAATCTTCAATACTTCCCTATGAAATCAAAATTTAATTTTGTGTTGTTAATTTTAACAGAATGAAGAAGGTAGTAGTTACCACATGGAAAAGCTAAGACAATATCAACTAAACAGATTAAAATACTTCTATGCTATTGTAGAATGTGACTCTCCAAACACCGCAAACCACATTTACACAGAATGTGATGGTATGGAATATGAAAGTAGTGCCACTCGGTTAGATCTGAGATTTGTACCAGATGATACCACATTTGAACACGTAAATATATTGCCTTTTTATCTTTAGACAAATGTTAAGTGACTCCGGGATTTGATGCGAATCGATCTGTTTTTCTTTCAGGCAGCAAAGGAATCTTGCTCTGGGATGCCTGATGCTGGAAAGTACAGGCCTCGTTATTTCACCACTACAGCTCTGCACCAAGCTAAAGTGGATTTGACCTGGGATGAAACAGATCCCTCGCGTACGGAAATAACAGAACGTGTTATGTCGGGCGATAATGTAGATGATATTGATTTGCGCACATACTTAGCATCCTCTAGTGGAGAGGAGGAGGAGGTTTCAGAAAAAGTTAACTCTAAGAAGAAGAAGAAGAAGAATGGTAATTGTGATTAGCTTTATTACTGTTCCTTACCATACCTTGTATTTTTTTCATTGAGCTGATTGACTGTTTCATTTTCTAGAAAAGCTTAATAGCAATGGTACAAAACTAGTGGGAGAAAAGTCAGACAATGACCAAACTGACAGCGAAAATGAGGACAATGATGATCCTATTGCTAAATACCGTGCACTGCTGAGTGGAATAGAGGAGGAAGAAAATGAAAAGAATAACAAGGGTGTGCATATGGAAATTTCATGGGGTCTAGGCCTAAAACAAAAGACTGATGAAGCAATAAAAAAGAAAATGTTGAAATCAGAGGAGCGAACACCTTTCCAGGAGATGATGGACAAGCGTAAACAGAAGCGCCTTGAAAAGAAAAAGCTGAAAGAACAGAAAAAGGTCAGACACAAATTATTTTCCTTGCTTTGTATATAAGAGCTTTGGTTCTTGGCTGTGAATGTTTTTGTACTTCCAGGCACAGATATCTGAACAAAGTGCCAATGAAAATGAGGATGGTACATATTCAGATGATGATATTCCATCAGACATAGACATGAATGATCCATACTTTGCTGAAGAGTTCAAAGATCAAAAGAAACAATCAAAGAAAAAGAAAGGAAAGCTCCGTGAAGATGCTGGTGAAACAGAAGAAGACTTGAAAAACAAGGTATTTACTTTCCTAGGGAGGCTTTTAGTTTTCCAATGGCAAGACTTATGCTATGTTCTTTTCCCATCCAGGCGGAACTTGAATTATTACTTCTTGACAAGGAGGATCGGAAGCATTTCAATTTTAAGAAAATCCAAGAGGAAGAAAGTGGTAACCTTAGCAAAAGAAAAATGAAAGCTAGACGGAAGAAAGGAAAAGATCTTGAAAAAGAATCCCAAGATGATTTCAAGGTGTGTATATGAATAGTGTTAAGAATTTAATGAGTTTTATTTCATGTCCTTGCACTTATATTTGACCTTGCGCTCTTAGGTCAACGTTGATGATGATCGCTTTTCTGCATTATACTCTTCTCATCATTACAACATTGACCCAACACACCCGAATTTCCGAAAGGGTCAAGGGATGGAGGCACTTATTTCTGCCAAACAAAAGAGACTAGTTGAATCTAGTCAGGAGGTACAGAATAATAGTTTATATGACGTTAAGAATAATTTTGTTTTGCTCAGTTTCCTAACTCCATGGTTTACTCCCTTTGCAGAGTTTTTCAGATAGCAATCAAAAGCCCCCTCCTCCTAAAAAAGCTAAACGAGATGCAGAACTTTCCCGTCTTGTCAAATCTGTTAAGAACAAGGCACAAAACTTGGCCAAATGATTAATTAGGGATCTCAGGACATGGTGAGCAATTCTTGCTAGAGGAATGTCAGGTGGGTCTGATTGGAATGGAGCTGATCAACATTAAACTGTGTGTTACATTAAAGCAAGGTAAAATTGTACAGAAGACACCTTTCCTCCTCCTACTAAATCAAGGTACAAACTTGTTTACAAAAAAAGAAACTACCTGATATTTGTATTTCATTTGCAATACACAGATGTGGTACAAACTTCACAATCATAAGATTAGGACTTGACTTGTTAAACAATTCTGAAGTACTGGTAAGTTGTACAATGAAACGACCCTAGGTGGAGTGATTACTGTAAGTTTCACTGAAAGGCTACATAATGGGTTAACTGAATATAGATGGAACAGCATGGATTTTGTTTGAAATCAAAGGTCCCAGATACCTTAAAACTAAGCATTACACCAACTAGTATATTCAGAGACCCCAGTGCTGTAACTTTGTGCCTGTCAAAATACCAATTATTGTACTTAAACATAACAAATATTGTACAGGATAACCCGGTTCTGGCATTGACTTTGTATGCCACACCATTGTCATGAAATGCTAAAATTAGGCAGCACTGTACATTGAACTAGTTTGAGATTGACCAAGAAATCAATTCTAGAGTTGTGGAGGGATGAACTGATCCATTATCCGCAAACATGAGGACAATCATAATTTATTTCCCCTTTTTCATCCCCTACATTAAAATGCAGATGAATGGATAAGAAAAAGAATTAATAAATGCTCTTGAAAATCTGTCAGCAAGATTTCACTTCATTCTTATTTTACTAAACTCATGCTTATACTTAACAGACAATAGATATTTCAACACTGTCAACACCACATGATAGCCAAGAATTTGAGGTCAGATAAGAACACACAGAAAGCAAATTCTAAACTGGTCCAAAGAAGTTTTAATTTTTAGTTGCACGTTAAAAGTTCATCTTTGGTTTCAGATATTCATGGGAGAGAACAAATAATAGATAAAATTGATTAGACAAATCACATAATCTTTTTTTCAACAAAGGTCATTAATAATAATTCACATAAGCAACACTAACTTTCATTTCAACCAGAGTTTCAGACGAAAAGCATCAACCCCATTTAGGTAATACCTGAATAGACGCTTGTCCCGCACAAAGCCAAGATTTTCATACAAGCGTAGAGCTGGAGAGTTAGTTATTTCAGACTCTAGTACAACCTGCAACATTTGTTTATGCATAAAATCTTGTCAAAGTTAAAAATTCAAACCCCATTAAATATGGTAGTTTGCTTTGTAATTACCTCATCAGCGTTAAGAGCCACCATCGCACCAATCGCTTTGAGAACCAAATTGGATCCTGAAACAAAAATTGTTGGAGACTTAGACACAGATCTGTGCTAATTCCTGAATTCAGACTGTTCAGCAGACATACCAATTCCCTTATTTCGATGGTTGCCATCTACAGCTAGCATAGCAATGTAGCCTCTTTTGGCAGATTTGCGATTTAGATCGAGCTTACAAACAATGGCTCCTACACATTCTGTTCCAATCATAGCCTAAAATCAAAGGAACATTCAAGTTAGAGAAAATCGTGAACACTAATGGGATTTTATTTTTAATCCAAACTGGAATCATTCGGTTTGAAAAAATTAGATCGACAGCACTTTGAATGGACAGCATAGCATACTCACCAAAAAGCAGAGCTTGGGCCAGTTGTAAATAAAGTATCGGTAAGTGTATATTGAATATGGCTCTGACAAATCCTTGTTCATAATACGCATGATGTCTGGCATTTGCAGCTCTGATTCATAAGACACATACACTATTGCATCTGTTTCTTTGAGGATCCCAACAGCAGATTTGCTACTTGCAATCGCCTCAAGCTCTTCACTAGATGTACCATTGTGCTCCGAAGAAGCACTGGTGCACTCACAAGGACTAGGGCTTTCACTGTACGATTTAGCATCGCTGTGGTTACTAATGCATTTCATTGTTTTGTTTTCTTGGCTGATCCCATTCGTCAACCCATTCATACAATGTTCACTGTCCAGGTTAACCTTAACCTCCAAAGCATCCGCTAATTCTTTTGCAACACACGAGTCAACGCATCCCGATGATTCGGATTCGGGGCATCGACAATTGGACTCCGCAGTCTTGCTATTTCGTAAAACATCATCGCAAGTCTTCGGACATTTGGCCTCTCTTGTTTTCGAATGCGGTAGACTCTGAGAAGCAGAAGCAGCAGCTCCTGAAGAGACTGCTTCAGTCAGTACTCCGACACCGTCCATGGTCTGACAATTTTACAATATCACACTGAAAGAAAGAAATGAAAAGAGTAAAACCGTCATTCCTTACTGTTGTTCTAGTAAAATACACTCGAAATTTAATGAACTAAACATGGATTTTTTTCTTGGTTGCACTCACCAAGTAGCTGCCTCCATTGTATCAAAAGTTTCAAAAATACCTCACAGACGGTGATCACCCAATGATCACAGAATTGTTACAATTCACAAAAGAAATGGCATCATTCATTCTTAATCAGCTTGGAGTTACTGATAAATAAACTAGTAAATAAACTTAGAATTTGTGGTTTTGGGACACCCTCATCAAAACATCTGAAAGTAGTTCCTTCTGCTTCTGCTTGCTTATCTGGAAGGCAGTGTGAAGTGTTGTTGTTTGTTTATGATTGTGTTGTTGCGACAGGACAGATGTGTCATGGAGACATGTGTCTAGAGAGATATTTTACTGGATTTTAACAGAAACTTTAGCAGATAAGTTGTCAGCATGTCAGAAAGCAAAGAAATTGTTGTAGCAAAATCTAAAGGCGAAAGGAAAGTTTTCAGAGCGCCCGTTAGGTCTGTCAACAAAATACCTGATGATATCCTGAATGACTCGAAACTTAACCTGGCCATTAGCGCGTTGCCTCAAAACTACAATTTTGAAGTCCACAAAACTGTGTGGAGAATTAAACAGCTCGGCAGTAAACGAGTTGCCCTACAAATGCCTGAAGGGTTATTAATGTTTGCAACTACAATATGTGATATCATTGAATCCTTCACTGATGCAGACACCGTTATAATGGGTGATGTTACTTATGGAGCGTGCTGCATAGATGATTTTACCGCTAGAGCGTTGGGAGTTGATCTGCTCGTTCACTATGGCCATAGCTGCCTTATTCCGATTGATCAAACAGGAGGAATCAAAATGTTGTATATTTTTGTCGATATAAAAATCGATGTACTTCATTTCCTTGAAACAGTAAAGACAAATTTTGATGTTTCCAAGCGATTGGGCATTGTCAGCACCATACAGTTTGCTTCCACACTTCATGCAGCTGCTGGGAAGTTAAGGGAGACTGGGTATAATGTCACTGTGCCACAGTCCAAGCCACTATCCCCCGGAGAAATTTTGGGTTGCACGTCACCAAAGATGACTGACATTGATGCTATAATTTACCTCGGAGATGGTAGATTTCACCTTGAATCAGCAATGATTGCTAATCCCACCCTGAAGGCTTTCAGGTGCGTTGCCACCCTTACTGCTCTCATATTCTTTTGAATTGGGCCTTCCATTATTAATAAAACATCTGCTAATGTCGTTACTGCTTTCTTTTAAGGTATGATCCCTATGAAAAGAAATTTACTGAAGAATTTTATGACCATTTGGAAATGAGAAAATATAGAAGTCAAGCCATTCATCTTGCCAGCAATCAGTCTCGCTTTGGACTAATTTTGGGAACTCTAGGAAGACAGGGGAGCAACCTTGTTCTACAAAACATTCAGGTTGGTTTTAAATGGTTTCTCAATTTATTTTCTTTGTATTAAGAATTTTAAGATGGAAAGAAATGTTATTTGTGCATTATTGTTTGCAGAAAAACCTTGAGAACTCAAGCAGGGAGAGTATCATTGTTCTACTTTCTGAAATATTTCCCGATAAGTTAAAAATGCTTCCAACAATTGGAGCATGGGTTCAAGTCGCTTGTCCCCGACTTTCAATTGACTGGGGAATGGCCTTTTCTAAGCCACTGCTTACTCCTTATGAGTGTGCTGTCGCACTTGGTATTTCTAATGCTGAATGGCGGAATGAAGATTCTAAAGAGACTAATTATCCAATGGATTTCTATGCTTCAGACAGTCTTGGACCTTGGACTCCTAATCACAAACCATGCTGTGATGCTAAAGGTGATAAATGTGAAAAGTGAAGAACATAGGAGTTGTCCAGAGTCCTCTGAAGCCTGTCTGTAATTTAACTCCCTTTCTTGTGAAATATTCTGATTTCGCAAAACTGTTTTGTTTTTAGATACCAGGTTGAAAAATGATTAAAACAATGTTAAAGTTTGTTTAAATTGTTTTAATTTTTAGGTACAAAAGAAGCATTGGCTTTTGTTTTCCAATCCTTACAAATGACAGAGACTGAAGAGCATGACAAAGTCTTTTAAATACAAGCGCTTAGTTAATTGATTAAAATAATCAAACTTACTGAAGCGTCAACTTACAATTAAGATACAAAATACGCGTGTGAATGATAATAAAAAAAACTATTAACTTCCACAAAGAGCAACATCACAGATGCAAGGCAAGAAAAGTGCAAAGCTGTACCTTATAAGAGTCCTAGTGCACAATGCTTTTAATTGTGTGTGTTGTGGACTTAAGGTTGTGGAATGTCATCAAATTATTAGCCTTTCCATATTTTTTTCAACATAACACTGTGCACATCTTAAACCTATGTGCAGAGAAAAATAGTTTGACAAACACAAAAATACCCAGTAAATAATATACATCTAAACTGACTAGCAACGATATGTCAATAAGACTAATGGCTTGATATTGACAGATGGAGGGATGAAAAGGAGATTTTAAGAATAGACTACAAATTTGAATCACAAATATTAACAAAAAAAAGGTGTATCTCACAAAAACACCAAGAGTTTTCGACAATTGTGTGGTTGCCCCTCCTTTAACTTGTCAAGGGCCATTTGCATTGGGGAAAGCTTGTACTCCCATGTCTTACCTATAAATCAAGGCATGCAATCATATATGACTTTCAGTAATACGGCAGTGTTGTAAATATTATCTTGTCCTTGACATCAGTACGTGTAGGGTTCTACCAAAGACTCATCAGCAAGCAGCAAGCCCTCAGTAAGCGTACTTTTGTCCACATATCATACAATAAATACTAGGGGTGAGTATCTAAAATGCAAATATAAAAGACCAACACAAATCTCGAGTCATATCATTTCCTCTTTCCCGCTTTTAGACATAATCAATTCACATCAACAATCACAGTTAAATATTAAGTCTTACAATTTTGCTACTACTTTTTCTAAGGCAAGAACAAAGAGGCAGAACATTTGTATAACATAAATAGTGCTGACAATACACTACTTTTTTTTTTAGTGGAATGATTCTTGTTAGAGAGACGCAAATAAATAGATAAAATAAATAAATAAATAAAAATGACAATAGATAAAAAACAAAGAAAACCCAGAGGTTGAATCATTTTCCTACAAGTGAGTGACAGCTTCATATAACTTTGGAAGTTCAGCCTCCAACCGTACTACTCTTACTTTGGACACAAGTATTAAGCGGCCAGAGCCCGGAGGTTTGCCGTCATCATCAGTTTCATAAGTGGTTAAGTATGAGACCAGCTCCTTGGAACCATCTCCATCAAGATCAGCAATGATCACTGGAAAATATAGAATTAAATTATCAAATGAACAAACTGTACAATATGTATTTACTCTAACAGTGGTGCTGATCAATTTTACAACTTACATGATTGCTCCTGGTAGAAGAGGCTTGGCTGACATCCCACATTTGAACACAATTGCTTGATCTCACTTTCACTTGCATTTACCAGATGCATGTCTGTGTCATTGAATGTTATGAGCACTATGCGCTCCTTTAGGCAGTACGCACTATAAGTATCTTTTGGATGATGGGTTATTGTGATAGTGCTTGTATTCCTACTTAGACTTTTGGTGGTGGTATTTATACCAGAGCTACCTATACGAGATTCTCTGGATTCAATGTATTCTGTTGGGGGCTTTTTGTCGAGGTTACCATCATGCCAGTGGTCATTCGGCTGCAAAATACTTCCCCATTCCTTGTCCTTAGTCATACGCTTGACTCTTTTTCTGAAGAAAAAAAAAAAATACAAAGTTAAGGCAGTGTAAAAAACAGTCATATAAGAAACTAAGAAAATGTTCCATACTGTTGAGAGTCCCAAATTGGAGATTTTTCACAGCTTGTCCAGTGCCAAAATTTCACAGCAAAACCAGTCACAGTGCCCAACAAAGGTTCTGAGTCGGCTGTATCAGGCTTTTTATTGGCATTGAAACTCATCGTTTGAGAATTAAACAGCAATATTGCAGGACGTAAGGCGTACATTTTAGCACCTCCATCACTCCAAATGGAACTATTAAGGCTCTTCTGTAATAAACAATCCAAAATTAGGTACATTTCTAGTTCCTTAATTTGTTACTGTTAATTCATTTACTTTAAACCAACCCCTTCATCAAAAACTCGAGCTGTAGCTTTGCAGTCTTCAGGACACTGGCCTTGGTTCTGTATTGTTAACTTCTTCCCATGGACTGAGTAAGTAGTTGGTTTGTTGTTAAAAGATTGGGGTTCTCTATTGCCAATGAGGTCAGGAGGACCATAATTTTGAGAAAACACATGCTGCTTTATGGGTACACCACCCTTTGTGTGCTTACTGAAGTCAACTGGAGCAGATTTATTGGTGACACTTTTGTAGAGTAAATTGAGCTCAGTCAGTTTAGCTGACTCTGAAATTAAAAAGAGGGAAATATATCACTGCCAAAATCAAAACCAAAGACGATTTCTCTAAAAATATCATATTACATGTACTACATATTTATCAATTTACCTTTTCCTCTGTAGTCCACACATGTGTATGATATAAACCAATCTTTATCCACATCAACAGTTAATTTGTAGATTGTTTGACAGGTATCATCAACAAATGCTCTACCAATCAACTTTCCAGTCTTTCCTGAGACAATAGCTATGCGATTATGAGATGTTTTAGTGGAAATTGATGGGGTTTTGTCTGAAGATGAGTTTGTGATGCGTTTCAACATTCGACAGGCAATAGCGAGGTCAAATATATTATCTTGATCCACATCAGGAAGTATGAGAGGGAACTCCATGTCAGAGGGAACATAATCAGTTTCTTTCTCAGCATGGAGAAACCAAATGGTAGTGGCTGTAATGGGACAAAGTAAATTAGCAGTCATAGAAAGAACTCTAAAACAATCTTACCAAAGTTAAAATTCTGTCAAAAACTACTTACAGGTTACAGGATTGAAAGCATACATTAAATCATTTGATCCAATCAATAGGCAGTCTGTTTTTCCATCTCCATCCAAATCAATTAGGGAGCAGTCCATGTCCCTAGGGACTGAATGTAAAGTCTTATACCTAGAATACAAGAGGATTAATGCTACCTTGCCTTTCCCAAGCTTAATTCTGGGCCCTGTTAAAACATACCATAATACATCTCCAGTAGAGCCCTTCAAAGCAACAAGGCCTCCTCCACTTGCAGGAATTGGGACCCACTCCGGAGTGGGTTCTTCCTTCTTGATGGCAAAACGAATGGGATTTGTGAAGACTGTAGTTTCCTGTTCTTTATCATTGTCTGGGAAATTTATTTCACCCCGGACCATGAACAACAGATTATTGTGCTGTTCATTATTACTTGGAACAACACTAATTCCCCCAATCAATTCTGTGGCGAAAAGGTGTTACACTTGCATCAATAAAAAGCAGACATAAAATGACTACTAGACAAACAATCATTCATTAAGCTTACCTAATCGATGTAAAGTTTTTTCCCAAGAACTCCCACCTTGCTTATCGTATTGCATTATTGGGCAAGTTGACCAATTGCAGGGAAGTACCCACAAAAATGCAACAATTACAAATATACAAAGGCATAGAGACATGACAAATGCAACCTGACGCATCAATGACATAGGATGCTTGTTTCCCACCAACATTTGCAAATTGCCGTGTCTTACTTCACCCTCTTTTTTACCAGATGACCCGCCCAATGCACCCATGACCATTGTTTCCTCTTCAATCCCTGTTCCTGTGGCGCCAGTTCCATGGGAATAATTGTAGTTTATATTGCTGAATCCATTGATGTGAACCTCATGACTCTCCACTGGACCTCCCTCATGGTTTAGGGGTTGATAGTCTTTCATTGTGGTGTTACCTTTGAATAATAATCAGAGAGAGAACAAAACGATGAGCAATTAATAAGACATGGCAAGTAATGTATGGAATAGAGGACTCACTAGCTTCTTCTGTTTTCACGATTGCCTTTTTTGGAGTGCCCAGCTTCCTATAAAAAATAAGATTTTCATGTTGACTTATTTCGTCTTCTGATGTCTCTATGTCACTAGTGGACTGAGGTAGACGAGAATACACAGTCCCCAAACCTCCACTGCTAACGGACATCTAACATGCAGTAATATCTACCTGGAACAAAAAGAGCAACACTGAAAAATTGAGACAAAAAATGTAATTTTATTCATAGTTTTAGTAAAACTCTTCACTTTAACACAAATTGTGCTCAGGACTCTGGCTGAAACTTCTACACAATTTGAGATACTAAAACTGCAATAGATCAAATTTTTGAAGAGATCAAATGATAGATGAATCGGTGGTGAACTTACAGAGTACTAAGGGCAAATCTGCACTAAACTGACACTGGTAAGCCGACTCAAAAGAGCCTGAAATTCAGCAAATAATCACAAAATGGCGGTGTGTTGTGTTTTTTCGTCTGTTAGCAGAAGCAGAAGCGCAAGCAGACGCCAGCCCAGAGTGGCGGCAGCACACGGGAGATATAGAAGTCATGATTACCGCCAGGGAGCGCTAGTATCGCCTCGCGTGTGGCTTCGGGCAGGCTTCAGCAGTAGCAGAAGAAGTGGGTGGAGTGTTGTGTCAGAAGCCAAGCCTTCAGTCAGGGGAGCTTTAAAGGCCTCTGTTCGTGTTGTCTCTCTAAACATTTTTATTGTTTTCAAAATTTGAATTGTAAGTGTCGAATAAGATCATCATATGTTCAAACATTGACGAACAGATCATGATATGTAGCTGACAGAGAACATAACCTGCGTTGGAAAGATAAACATTGAGGCCAGCTCATTCCTTCACATCATTTGTCTGCAGTATTTAAGCCTCTTTTGTGTTAGAAATGAATACCTCAGAAAACTCCAAAGACTCTCCATCACCTTGTGAAGAAATGGTTGGTTCATTTGAGACTGAGGCAAATGACAGTGCTGATGAGTCAGATGACTCAGAGGAATCGGAGCCTAAATTGAAATATGTCAGAATGAAAAACTCTCTCGTAAATATTTTCAACAAATATGAAGCTAAATGCATGGCTGTCCATCCTAAATTTGTATGCCTTGGTAATAATTGGGGTATGATCCATATGCTTGATCATCAAGGCAATACAGTACTCCAAGAACTACGCTTGCATTCCACTGACGTCAACCAAATTAGCATTGACAGAAATGGAGATTTCATTGCAAGCTGCTCTGATGATGGCAGAGTGTATATTCAAGGCCTTTATTCATCTGATAACAATCAGGCCCTCAAGAAAGAAAATTGTAAAGTGAAATCAGTAGCAATTGACCCAAACTACTATAAGCCTGGATCTGGTCGTAGATTTATCACTGGTATGTATGTCTACTACAAGGAATGTCTTCACTACATGTTGACACGCGTTATTGCAATGTGCATCTCTTGTTCCTGCAGGTGATGAGCAATTAGTGCTGTACGAGAAAACTTTCCTTGTGAAACTGAAATCAACAGTACTATGCAAAGCGCAAGGAACAGTTCACAACATCAAATGGGAAGGTCAGTTTGTTGCCTGGGCAGATAATTTGGGTGTGTGGGTGTTTGATATAGAAGCCAGAAGATCCTTGGGACTCATCAGATGGCCAAGAAACCCTGAGTAAGGAAAAAAAAGTCAGAGCACTAACTGGCGACGTTCAAGTAATTAGGTTTCAAATTTGTTTATTCTTATTGTACTCTGCAGGGCCCTCCCAGAAAACTATCGGTGTAATATCTGCTGGAAAGATAGCTCAACTTTTCTTGTGGGATGGGTTGACAGTGTTCGTGTTTGTCACATAAGAAAGAGAACGCCACAAGAAATTGCTGCTGACAGAGACAAACCTGAGTTTATTGTGGACTTGGGTATGCAAAGATGTCATTAATCTGTACAATTTTAATTATTTTTTGTTATTTTGTATGATTTTGGAATGTTTGGTTTCAGTTTCATCCTTTGAGACTGACTTTTACATATCAGGCATTGGTCCCCTAGATGACACCCTGGTCATCTTAGGATATGCTAAAGAGCCAGATGAGGATCACAATGCTCAACGTCCTGTAATGTATGTTCTTGAACCACAACCAACTGGTTTTGTTGAGTTGCGCTATGACTCTTTATCACTGCGAGGCTACCAACATCTAACATGCAATGATTACCACCTAGGTATGTTCTGTATGCTCTGTATGTTTTTATTTATCACTGTGAATCACCGTAGCTTTTATACTTTGGTGTATTGACTTAATTCTCATCGCCCAAACTTGAGTAAATATACATAATGTGGCTGTTGTTTTGTATAAAAAAAATTTTTTCTTCTAGAATGCTTGATTGAAGAAAATAATTTCTTCATAGTCAGTCCTAAAGATGTTGTTGTTGCTACCCCATATGATGCAGATGATCGAATTCAATGGCTGATGGAACATTGGTATGTGATCTTTTTGAACTGAAACAGATGATTACATTTATTTTTGTATATCCTAAAATATTTTATTCCTCTGAACCCCTTAGCAAATATGAAACTGCTATGGAAGCTGTTGCTCAAACTGAGAATAGACAGACTCGCCGGTATACACTTTTGCAAGTTGGACAAGGTTACCTGAAATACCTTTTAGATAATAAAGAGTTTGAAAAGGCTGGACAGTTATGCCCAAAGATCTTGGGTAGGTCCTGTTAATTAATGCATTTTTCTTTTTTTCTTTTCATATGTTCTAAGGTAAAAATTATGTTGTTTTCATGTCCTTAGGCACAGAAAAGCGATTGTGGGAAGAGGAGGTTTTTAAATTTGCACGAATTCATCAGCTGCGAGCTGTGAGTCCATACTTACCACGAGGTGATGACCGTCTTAGTTCTACTATCTATGAAATGGTCTTGTATGAATTTCTGAAACTTGATGCAAAGGTGTGCCAAATATTTTCCTACTCAATGAATTGCTGTATGGAATACTTCTATCACAGGAATTGAAAATGTTGACTTTATTCCAGGGATTTTTAAATGTTCTCAAAGAGTGGTCACCAGATTTATATAATGTAAAAGCTGTGACAGCTGCATTATGTGAACATTGTATACAAAATGAGGCTGATCAAGTGCTCTTGGAAGCACTTGCTATCCTCTATAGCCACGATCAACAATACGACAAAGCCCTGGCTGTGTTTTTGAAGTATGTCTCATTGCTTTAAAACCAATTTTTCCAGCTCCTCTACCTGTCTAGTGCTGTTTACTATTGTATTTTTATTGAAACATTTTACATTGTTGTAGACTTAGAAATAGTGACTTGTTTGATTTAATACGCAAGCACAAACTCTATGCTGTCATTCATGATATGATTGAAGACCTAGTTAAATTGGATGAGGAGCAAGCTATAGCACTCTTTCTTGAAAAAGATGAACCAACTGATAAGAGAAAGTACCTGCATGCTTCGGATGTGAATAAGCAAGGTCCCAAAAAGTATCTTGTATCTCCTGATGTAGTTGTCGCCAAGTTAGAGAAAAGTCCAAGATATCAATATTTGGTAAGGGTGCTTTCTAATTTTACAGTGTATGTTTTACATATTTTTTTCCATTGTTACTCAAATGAATGCTCAACTATCATTTTAGTATTTAGATGCTTTGGATACGAGGGATGCTAAAGGAGCTGGTCAGAAATATCATGGTCTGCTTGTGAAGTTATATGCTGACTATGCCAAAAAGAAATTGCTCCCTTTGCTTCGTCGGTCAGGCCACTATCCTATTCAGGAAGCTCTCAACATTTGCAAGGAGCGCAATTATTATGATGAAACTGTTTACCTCTTAGGTAAGGACTTAATTATTTCACTTAAACTATGTTCCTTGCAGCTTCTTCCTTATATTAGAAATACCTCATGGTTTATGACTTTTCTCAGGACGTATCGGCAACTTTAAAGAAGCTCTCAATCTGATCATGAAACAACTGGGAGACATTGAGCAAGCCATCAATTTCTGCAAAGAGCACCATGACATGGAATTGTGGGAAGATCTCATCAATCACTCCCTTTCTAGAGCAGGTGGATAAAAATAATTCATGGCTTCTACAAATTCTTTGATTAAGGTAGCTTTTAACACATGTGAACCCAATTCTGTGGCAGATTTCATCACATTCCTTCTCCAGCGCATAGGAACCTATGTTGATCCTCGTATTCTAGTCCAAAGGATAGATTGTGGTATGGAGATTCCTGGTTTGAAGAATTCTCTTGTCAAGCTCATGAGAGACTACAGCCTACAGGTTCATATTTGCTCTTCAATTATTTTGAATTATATATGAAGTAAATAATGAGTCAGTTAACAGTGAAATTTTCTAGGTTTCAGTTCAGGAAGGGTGCAAAAAAATTCTATCCTCTGATTACTTTAATTTGCATAACAGACTAGTGACAATGCAGCAACGGGGAATCCTAGTTGATGGTAAGCATTCTACTTTTAAAAATAATATTTATGCTGCAGTTATTGTCTACTGTTGTTTACACATTCTTAAAATTCTGTGCATTTGTCTAGATGACCAACTCTGTGGTAAATGTTCTCGTCCTATTATTGTCAAAGGTGAGCTGATGCTGTGTTCATCATTTAATGTCATCAACTCATTCAAACACATTAAAAAATTTGTCATTGTTCTTATTTACAGATTCAAATCGAGCCTGTAATGTTGTTGTCTTCTTTTGTAAGCATTCTTTTCATGAAGAATGTGCTTCGGTAAGTCCAATTTACCTTCATATGTTAAATTCCTCCCATAATATTATGTTAGAGACGTTTGCTTGTTTTATTAACAAATTCTCCCATAACTTTTGAAGGAATACTGCATCATTTGTAATGCACAGAAAGCTCCAACAGTGCATTGAAAAAAGAAAAGTACACCAGCGCTTTGTGATGATTGTGATGATCTGATAAGAAGAGTTATAAAAACTATACTTGTATTACTTGATCTACTGTATTTTATAAATCTCTATCCAATTTACCAATAAATATTGTAAACAGTATACAAGTTTATTTTTTCTGTATTCTTTGATGCTCCTTGCGAATTTTAGCATCAGCTATAGGCAACACTGCGGCTGACTAAAAAGTGAAGCCAAGGGTCTTTTTCTGCCCTCGCTCTTTGCAAAGTTCTGTACCTCTCTCTAGTCTCGTTCTTTCGGATCGACAGCTAGCTACGCCGCGAGGACACGAAGAGTACGCGGCAAGATTCATCGTTGTGTCATCCTGCTTCCCGGTTGCCCTCGCGCTGCGCTGCGTGGTGTGCCCAGCAGAGCGATTCTGGACCGTGCTGTGGTCGCTCTCTCTCTCTCTCCCACACTTATAGGTGTGAGAGAGGCAAAGCGCTGTTCGGGTGTCCCGCGGAGCCCGGCCTGCCTCTTGGACAAACAGGGTCCTTTGTGTGGTCGCCCTCGCCTCGCCGATCCCGGCCTCGCCCCGCGCTGCAGACTAGTTCCGCTGGAGGCCCTCTCTCTCTCCTCTCTCTCTCTCTCTCTCTCTCTCTCTCTCTCTCTCTCTCTCTCTCTCTCTCTCTCTCTCTCTCCTTCTCACTCATGGAACGCTCCGCATAGGTGCGAGAAAGATAGACCGACGGGGCAGGGAATCGCTCTCTGCAGGGGCACCCCGAAAGGAACAGGACCCCCGTGGTGCTCCAGGCCGGCGACCGGAATTGCTCGCCGTCCAGCCGCCGCGGGCGCGGGCAGGTTTTATCGGGGCGACTCGACCGGACTGGAAAAAGGACCAAGTACAAGAAGGGAAGGCCGCGATGCGAGGCTGCGGCCGGGCACTAGCAGTGCAGCGGACAGTGCAGCCCGCCGTCCTCGGCCGCACTCGCCCCCAGCCGCCCCGCGCGTCGTGCGCCCCGCCGCGCCCCGCGCCGTGGAACAGCTGATGTTCGGGAGGGGGGCCCGGCGGCCTGGCCCGGCCTCGGCCAGCACGGCGATCAGCAGGGAGGGAGAGACGCCGTGCGCCTCACCACGCGGACGTGCGTCGTGCGTGCCCGGGCACCGTCGGGCCGGGCCGGGCCGGGCCGGGCACCCTCCCCTCTCTGTCTACAACCCCAACGCCCGCCGCGCCCCGCCCCACCCGCTCACGCACAGCATCCCGCACCCTCCCTCGGCGTGTATTGATCTCTCCCGTCTCGCTCGCTCTGCCGCGCTCTGCCGGCACGCGGGGCCTAGGGTCTCGCCACGTCTCCGTCACTCTGCCGTGCTAGTGCTGCCTGGCTGCGTCTAGCTGCGTCGCCGTGTATCCGTCTGCTCCTCGCTCTCTGTCTCTCTCACCTTCCCCCCATCCTTGCTTCATCTCCCCCTCTCCATCCCGTGCCTTTCTGCATGGATTGAAACTTTGATTATTTTCACCTAATTGCTCCGGCGGCCGCCCCCCCCACCCCGCCCCGCCCCGCCATTCTAAAGAGCGGCGCTCTTTTTCCCGAAATCCGCTGAATCGCGCCAGAGAATGCGCTGGAAACGCATTTCACCGATTGCAGAACGGGTGGGGCTGCGCTCTCTCTCTCTCTCTCTCTCTCTCTCTCTCTCTCTCTCTCTCTCTCTCTCTCTCTCTCTCTCTCTCTTCTATCGTAGGGCGCGAGAGAGACAGAGTGGGATGAGACTGCTGGCCGCGCTGGAAGTCGCCGTGCTGTACGCTGTACCGTGTTACCGCGACCCCTCCCCTCCCCTCGCCTCGCACCGGCAAAGTGCTTCCCTGACGTGTGACGTCTCGCACCTCGCCGGGGCTAGCCTAGGCTAGCCGGGGCAGGGCAAGCAGGCCGCCACGACGCCACACTCTCCGCCCCATTCTTCACAATATAAACTCGCTTTTATCATTCTCAGCCTTTGTCACCGCCCGGACGAGGCGTAGCGGCGTGGCGGCGGGGTGGCGGGGCGAGGCGGGGCGAGGCGGGGCGCCCCTCCACGGCCTTCAGCAGACGAGCCGGTTCGAGGCGGGTGGCCGGGCGGCCCCGCCACCACCTAACCCGTCGCAGCAATTTACATCTCCTCGCTCAATCGGGGGCCTCCTGCCAACAGCAACCCCCCCAGCCCCAGGCCGCCTCTCCCCGCCATCACCACCAACTCTCGAAAACTCCTCTTGCCCTCACCTTCCAATCCAGCTGGTTTGCTGTGTGTTTCCCAGCCCCTAACCTCTCAAATCCCCTCCCCTCCCCGCCCCCGGCCACAACAGCCACCAAACACCCCTTGCACCCGCCCGCCCCCTGCACAAAGGGACCCTGTCAGTTTAAGGCGCCGCTCCCGTGGCTCAAAGGGGCGCGGGGGGCGCGGCACTCCCGGCCCGGCCGCCCCGACCCCGGCCATGCCCAGCCCCAGCGTCCCAGCCCTGGATACTTGAGTTGCCGCCAAAGGTAAAGGAGATGCAAAGTGATGACGGGGGCCAGGGGCAGGGCGGGGGCAGGGCGGGCCGAGGCAGGCAAGCGCCCTGCCCAACACCTGTGCGTCGTGCCTTGGGCGCGCCGCCGTGCGCCGTGTGCATCGCACCGCGCCAGCCGAGCCAAACGGGCGGGGCTGGGCAGGGCGCCCGGCATGGCAGGCCGCCCGCACCGCAAGCGTGCATGGCGGGCCGGTATCGGCGGCGTGCAGGGGCTCCACCCTGGGCCGCCCCGCCCTGGGCCGCCCGGCGCGCCGCTGCAGCCCGCCACTGTTGTGGTGCCGACGGCCGCCCCGCCCCGCCCCTTCGGCTCCTCCGGGCCTGAGCCGCTTTCAGTTCGTGCTTTCAGCTTTCAGTGCGCAGCCCTTGTCCCAGTTGTTCCCCCGTGATTGCCTCGCCTCCCCATCCTCCCCCGTTCTGCCTCCCCGTCGGGGACTCTCCCGGACTCTCCCCCTCCGACAACTCATACGTTCCGCGGCACACTAGGCCTGCCCGCTCCGTCACTCTGTCTCTCTCGCACTGACGGGCAGGCTCGGCCCGTCTCTCTCGCGACCACAGGCACAGGCCTTGGCTCGGAAGCAGCCTGCAGCCTGTGCAGTGTGCCCTCCCCCTTAAGCACGGCAGCACGGCAGGAAATGGAAATTTATTGAATGGAACGCCGCCGCCCTGGCGGTCCGTCCCTCGGTCCGTCCGGCCCAGCGGCGCGTCGTCCTGCACGCGTGCAGCACGATTCAAAGTTTGTTTATTTATTTCGCCTTTCCAGTGCGCCACCGCGATGATAGCGGCGAAGCCCCAGCGCCAGCCATGCGCCCCACACGGGGCGGCGGGCGGTGCCCTGGCGGTACCCACAGGGCCACTCCAGCCTCCGGGTGTGCACTGCACAGTTCATTAGAAGCACCCCGAGCCGCCAGAGCGAGCCGCCAGAGCAGGGGCACTGCGGTGCCGCCGGAGGGCTCTAGACTGAAGAGAGAGGCAAGCAGGTTCTCCGCCTTTCGCAGCTCGCGACCCAAAAAACGCAAAAACGACCCCAAAATATTTTCCCTCGACCCTAGGGGTGGGGTCGTGACCCCAAGGTTGAGAACCGCTGGGCTGCTGGGTTAGAGGGCAGGCCCGCGGCGCCGAGACGGCGCTCCTGGGGTGGCTGCTCCAAAACCTCCCTGCAGCAGGCAGCCAGGCGTAGCCAGGCCGAGGCTTTTACGAACATCCTACCTTGCAAGCCCGCTTTTGCTCGCTTGCTCTGCCAGCGTGACACGGGAATTCGTCAACCGAGACAGCACCCAACCCCACGGCACGCCACGGCACGCCGCGCCGAAAAAAAAGGAGAAAACAGCATTTTGGCTTCCGGTACCGCTGTTCACTTGCTCACTTGTTCACTTGACTCTTGCTTTCCCTCTCACTTCATTTCCTTCCTGTTTCACTCTGCCTGTTTCGCTCCCCTCCGGAGCGCCCCCCTCCCCCCCGCCTCCGCCTCTGACCCCCTTTCCCGGGGGTGGGGGCGCGGCGCGCGGGGCGGGGCGAGGGGCGGGGCGCGGTGGGAGGGTGGTTCGGCGCGGTCCACAGCATCCCTGCCCAGCCCGGCGGCCTGGCAGCCTGGCAGCCTGGCCCAGTCTGGTGCTGGGGCTGCGAGAGCCGAGTCGTCCCGTCGCTCCGACCCGGCCGATCCGTGCCGCGCCACGCCGCGTTCACTCCACCGCGCCGTGCCTGGCCGTGCCCTGCCGCCTCGCCGAGTCGGACCCGTCCCGTCGGACCGCCCCGCCGCGCTCTCCGCCGCGCCGTGTCCGCGCCGTGTCCGCGACCGGAGGAGTCCCCGCCCCGCCCGCCGCGTGCCGCGTGCCGCGCGTCCGCGTGTCCGCGTGCGTGTTAGTGCGTGTCGGTGCGTGCGTGTGTCGGCCATGCGTGCGGCGTGCACCGCGCCAGGTGTCGAGTGCAGCGGTGTCTTGTGGAGTGCGTCGGCCAGGACGTGCAGTCATGGCTGCTGACACTGCCGAAGCGCGACATGAAGGCCCCCGTGCACGTCGTGCAGGCCCCAGGACAGGCCCCAGGACTGGCCCCAGGACTGGCCCGCCCGAGCTTCGGCGTCCGCAGCGCCCGCAGCAGCGCTCGCGGCTGAGCCTGCCCCGCTAACCCTCCAGCCTGCGGCACCGCTTCGCCCCGGCAAGGTGGGTAGTGCACCCGCACCGCGACGCCCCGCGACGCCCCGCGACGCCCCGCGACGCCCCGCGACGCCCCGCGACGCCCCGCCACACCTCCCGGACACGCCATGCAGCCCATTGAGGGCCCCGTCTGAGCCGAGCAGCCGAGCAGCGAGCAGCCGAGCCCCAGCCGAGTGCTGGCACTAGGGCAGTCCCTGCAGTCCCCAGTCTGTGGGGCTGGGTCTGTGTGAACGCAGGCAGCGAGCCGGCTGTGTGGCCCCGTCCAGCCCCCTCCCCTTGTGCCTTGTGGTCGCCTCGTAGGACAGCAGGGCACGGCCTGGGCACGGCCTGGGCCCGGCCCTAGGGAAGGGGGAGGCTGGCCACGACTGCGTCTGTCTCGAGATGCGTTCAAAGTTTCCGCCAAGCGGGCCGACGCACGGACGCGTCTGTGACAGGGTGCCACTGTTCACCGCGCTGGGGACACTTTTTGTAGGTTAGGTCGTCCGCGGTCCGGGACGGTCCGGGACGGTCCGGGACGGTCCGGGACGGTCCCGGGTCGCGGCTAGGGCGCAGTGTACACAGAGAGCGCTGCGGCCGGCCGTGGCCCCGGCCGTGGCCCCGTGGGGACTTCCCGGCCAATCATGACGATTGCAGAGGCTCGCCGAGAACGGGGAGGCGATTTAATGGCCACCGTTTGGACTCGGTCGCCTCATCGCCAATTTTTTGCCCGTCGCTCGGTTGGGGCGAGTGCTGGAGGTGAGGGGTGCGGGGGGTGAGCGGGGCCCCCTGTTAGACCAGTGGCCACTTGGACCATCGCAGCCACCACTCGAGCAGGCAGTATTGAGAAGTCCAAGTCCCTCATGAATGATGGATAGGGATACCACTCGATGGCTGGGCTGGCCCTGGGCTGGCTGGCCACATCCAGGTCTCCGCTGCCCTGTCGCGCCGCCAGGCCGCCACCCCACTGCTCTCTCCCCTCCACAGTAACTGCGGGGGACGTTTCTAACTTCTTTCTGTTCTGTTTCCCCCATTCATTTAGCAGGAGCGCGGGTTGTAGTTGGGGAGCCTCCCAGGCCCGCTCCCAGGCCCGGGCTAATCGGTTCTAGCGGGCCCGTCGCTTTCAGTCATACACTGTTCGAAACACGAAATGGCGCGAATCTCGGACACAAAGTACCATCATTCGTGTATTTTTCATCTACTTTTCCCCAGTAATAGTTAATCGTCCTTTTGTTATTTGCTTTGATAAACTTCTTGTCGTGAATTATTAGCCTATAGTATCTCAAAAAATAAAAATGTTGGTCCGAGCTTTTACAGGTCAGGTTGTGAGAAGTGTTTTCGGGTTTGGTGTGGTTCACTGGATCCTCCCTCGCTCGCGCCACGCTCATTGCGGCGTGACTTCGATTTGGCGCGCTGGGGTGGGAAGGGGGGGGGGGGGGGGCGCCACGGCCGGCTGAGCGTAAGGAGGGAAATGAAAGTAAATAATCATACTTTCTCGCTCTGATCCCGCGGGATTACCTGCGCCCCCTGGAATGGGGAGGAGAGGGGGTAAGCTCGCACTGCCGATGATGAGGAGAGGGGTGGCGCGACGTGGTGGGATTGAGGGAGGGAGAGGGGAAGGGGGGGGGGGAGGCTGCAGCTGGAGCGATTTGCAAAGAGGGAGAGAGCATTTGTTTTCGTTAGAGACGCGACGCAGCGGGGGCGGGGTGCCGTCCACAATTCACGTAACGCACGGCCACAGTTCCCAATCGGTTCAAACGGGCAGTTCGGCAAAAACGAGCACAAAAACACACAGCACTGTCCCGGAAAGGCGGATCACCGAGCGAGCACACCGCAAATTCCATCCGCTCTAACAACCTCTGCGCCTCTCTCTCTGTCCGCAGGTCCTCCGGTCCTCCGGCGCGAGGTGCGATCGCCGCCACCACGGCGCGGGAGGGGCCCGGCGCGCGCGGTGCGCCCCGCCGGGGTGCCCCCAGTGCCCCCAGTGCCCCCCGCGCCCCCCGCGCCCAGGGTGTGGGGCCGGACGCCCCCCGGGATGGCGGAGCCCAGCGACGGCGAAGAGGACGGTGGCGGTGACGACTTGTGCACCAGTGCTTGCCTTGCCCCGCACGCCCTGGACCGCCCCGGCCGAGGGCTGGCCGAGGGCTGGCCGACGCAAGGCCACGCCGACGGCCTACAGCAAGGCCTACAGCGCCAGGATGTAGGGCGACTGCCGGGGCGCTGCTTCTGAAGCGATGCAAGATGAGTCTCGCAAGGAGCTGAGAGCACCGGCCCAGCAAGCCAGCCAAGCGCCTGCAGTGCCTGCAGCCAACATGGTGGACCTCGCGGGTTACGTCATCATCCTGGTCCAGACACAAGACGGCAAGATCAAGCTGTACGGTGAGTGAAACGGACTGAAACCGCTCGCAACATTGCTGCCAATTGCCAAATCGTCCCCGACGATGAGCACTCTCATCACAAGATTCAGATTTTCAAGGTCTGATTTTTCGGAGAACTTCTTACTTGTAATATTCAGAACACCAAATTAAACTTTTTAATCTGGTTATTTTAACAGTGTAACTAACGTTTGAGCTTCATGACAAGTGCGCTGATTCTTTAGAAGCAGAGTGAGGAAAAAATTCTCGTGACGCTTCAAGACGAGCTTGACGTGAATTTGCCAGTCAGGAAATAGAGCAGTACACTTGACCAGTGAATTTCACTTAATGATTCGAAAAAGTACCCGTACCTGTACCTTGTGCCTTGCGTCGCCGGTGGCGTGAATTATTCAGACCTCCGGACAGAAGCGCCTGCGAGGTGGACTGCTCCGGCCCGCCGCGCGGCGCTGCGTTGGAGGAGGCGCGTTGCCTACCTCGCGGCGCTAGCGCTAGCCTCGGCAGTGCCTCCCCGTCCCGTCCGTCCGCCCGTCCGTCCAGCCCCTGCCTGCGCCTTCATTAACCCCTGCTTGTGTTTCGTCCCGCAGGGTCGCCCGCCGAGAAGAACGATCTCGAGATCGGCGACGAGATACTCGAAGTGAACGGGAGGATTCTGGAAACATGTTCGCACGAGGAGATATTGACCTTCTTACACGAGGTGAGTGCGCACTGGTGAAGCCATGGTGAAGCGGAGGGTTTACACGTGTAGTGGAAAGTGGTCTGGGATTCATCTGGAGGCAGCGGCGGCCAATTAGGTACTCGCCTGTGCGTCTGTGGATACCGGCTCGCCCTGGAGGCCCGCCCCCGCCGCCGCCCCCCGCGCCACCCCCAGCCCAGCCGCCCGCTCCTCCGCCCGGCCCGGCCCGGCCCGTCCCGGCCCCACTCGCTCTGGGCGCCGCCTGCGCCCGCCTGGACCAGCGAATCAATAGCACCCCGTCCTCGGTCTCCCTCTCTCTCTCCCTCGCGCCCGACTGTCCCGCCGGCCTGCCTCTCGCTCCAGCTCGCGCTCCCCGTCTCTGTCTCCGCCTCCGCTCCGGGCCGCCTGTGGCGCTCGCGGCCTCTCCGTCTTTGTCGCTCTAATGCGCGGCCCCGCGCCGCCCCGCGCCGCCCCAACGGCTTGCCGACGGCCCTCTCGCTCGCACTCGCAGTGCCTCGGAGGCCGCGTTTGTCTTGACGGGCCGCCCGACCCGCCGACCTGCCCGGCCGGGGTCGCGCGCCGCACACGCTCGAGCAGGCCAGCACGCACGTCGGGGGCCTGCACCGTGTGACAGTGCCGGCAACCGTTTCCTGGTTGGACGTCGTGGCCGTGGCGGCGAGGAGGGAGGTTATGATCGCCCTGGAGGCCACGGGGAGGGTGGTCGCCGCACGCCGCGTGTGACATAGGTCGTCGTATAGCCCTCGTTAGCCGTGTCGTGGCCCTGTGCGGCGCGGCCGACGTCGAAGAGCGTTGATAACGCGGTGGCGCCTTGCTGCGCTTTGCCGCTCGCGTTGCTGCCCGCTGATTAACTTGCCCTGAAAAGGGCGGCGCGGAGAGCGAAAGAAGGAAGGCAACAAGGAAAAGGCGGGGGAGTAAAAGGTGGGAGCGGGACGGCCGGAGTGGAAGGTGCATAAAGGCCGCGGCGGGGAGGGGAGGGGAGGGGAGGGAGGGGAGGGGAGGGGATTATCTTCCCTCGGTCATCTCTTAACTTTGTTTGCGCTTGGCCGGACGCGCCCCGCCAGGCGGCCAGCCGCCAGCCAGCCAGCACCTTGAGCGCATCCCACCCCGCACCCCGCCTGCACCGCGAACTGGCTGCCTGCCTGCCTGCCTTCCCGGTGGTTGTGCTGGGTGGGTTGGGTGGCTGGCAAGCGCGGTGGTTCGTTGACTGAACGCGGAACCGTGGAACACCCAGCCAGGACTTGGCCACGTTTGTGGCGGCGAAGCAAGCCTTCCCCGCGCCGCCAGCTCTGTGGTGCTGCAGCCTGCAGCCTCAGCCGGCCTGGTGCGCCGTGGCGGTGGGCCACCACGGCGACACGGCGTTACGGTGGCCTGCCTGCCTGCCAGGCGACGCCTCGCCGGCCAGGGTCGCTTCGTCGCTCTGTCTCTGTCGCACTCACGGGCTCCGTAAGGGTGCGAGAGAGACAGGGCGAACAAACCACTCTCAGGCACACGTCCTGCAGAACGCCACCCCTTTTCCCTCCCCGCCGTCGTCCACTACACTGTTCACGCGATCGCCCGTCCATTTTTCATTTCGCCCGGCGCTTCCTTCGCCGTGGGTTCGAACGCTGACCGGCAGCCCTGCATTATTTCTTCGCCCTCAGGGCCGATCGGTCCGCTCCGATCCGTTCGCCCGAAGACTCCCTCCGGCCCTCAACAGACTGATTCCCCAGAGTCCCTCTCGCCTCTCTGTCTCTCTCGCGCCCACACGGGACGCCCCACGAGTGCGAGAGAGACGCTGCGACGAAAACGACTCTCGGAATCGGTTGGATTGCTCCCGTGCAACCCGTGGTTGCGTTAGTCGCCGCCCGCGTCGGACTGCGACTGGGATTGCATGTAATGATATGATGCATGCATTGTTCATGCGCGATTAGGATACGGAGGGGGCGGGGGGAGGATTTGGGATGCAGGGCGGCGGACCGAAAAGGGGGGGGGGGGCAAGCTGCCGCCGAGGACGAGACGAGGAGCGAGAGAGACGGCGAGACGGGCGCGGGGGGGGGGGGGAGCAGTTTGCGGCGAGCAGACCGCAGGCCTCACCGCCGACAGTGCGGGGGTGAGGGGGGTGAGGGGGCGGGACAGTGCAATAAGGAAGCAGGGGCAGGGGTGGGGGAGGGAGGGGGCGGCTCGGTAAATAAGTTGATTGTGCATGAGCTTATTACCGCGGGTCTCATCTGGCAGGCTCCGCAGGTTAGCGGGTCGCGGCAGGCCAAGCCTTGGACCAAGCCCCCCGAAATGCACCACGGCGCCACAGCCACCGCGGCCAGCGAGAAACCAGGCGGTGAACCTGGCGGGGGGACGTCGCGTCCCTTCCGGGTCCATCCCATCCCCGCGAGTGGGGCCAACGCTTCTGCCTGTTGACGAACAGGAACAGGCAGATCTCGGGCAAGCCCGGCGTCGCGCCAATCTGCGACCAATCCGCGTCGCTGTCTCTCTCGCACCCCTATGGGACACCCCACGGGTGCGAGAGAGACAGCGGCAAAGGCACTCTACCTGCCTAGCTCGAGCACAAAGGGCATGCCTGGGCTGCCTGGGCAATCAGACCGACTCTCGCTCTTATTACTGCACTGGGTGCAGCGTGGAGCCGTACCGCTGCCGGCAGGCTCATTGCGAACGCCGTCGCTCTGTCTCTCTCGCACTCACGGGGCGCCCCGCAAGGCCGCAAGGGTGCGACGGAGACAGAGCGAGGAATCGCCCGACAGAGTCCGGAATAACGTCGTCAAGTCTGGGGGAACAATGCACGAGCGCCGTGTGGAATTCCCGCTCCGCGTTTGCTTTTTAATTTGCTCATACGTTTGTTTTCTGTCTTGCAGTGCATCAAATCCCGAGTGATATGCCTGCGAGTGAAACGTCGGACGAGCGCCCGAGTGGGTAAGTACAAGTACCGCCGCACCGCTGGGGAATATCGCACCTCGACGCCAATGGAGAAGTGGAGGCCCCGCCCCGCCATCGGTGTGCCGCCACAGTACCGACTGGACGCGCTGGACGGGATGCCACCGTCCGAGTGGCTGGGTGTGAGCTTCCCACGCCCCCCGCTGCTCCCGAACAGTGCTCTCGACGCCCTGTCTCTCTCGCACTCATTAGCGGCGCCCCGTAGGTGGGCGAGAGGGTACTTAGGCCGGAGACCTTCCTCCTTGATGCCCTCACTCGGGTATGCGATTGCCAAGACTCGTTAGGGAGCAGCGGCGACGCAAGGTTGGTCAAAATGCAGAGAAGAACGTCAAAAAATCGTGTTTTTGAACTCATCAGAAAATGTCGGCTGCTTGGCTGCCCCTGCTTGGGATGGCCTTCGCCCCGCCCCGCCGCCTTGCCCCGACTCAAGAGAAGAGACGACGACCTGTGAACGTCCCTCGGGACGCGTCCTGGGGGAAACGCCGCGCCGCGCCACGCCCTGTACCGCACAACGCACTGCCTCGTCAGGACAAAATCTGTTTGGACAAGGCTCCGGCCCCTCTCTAGCGACAGGCGGCCAGCCAGCCAGGCAGGCAGGCACGGCGGAGGGGAGCGGGTAAAAGGGAAAAAGCAGCCCGCATGTAAACAAACTTAGATGCTCATTTTTCCTCCTTCGAAAGAAGGTGGCAAGGAAGAGCGGCACCTCGAGGAAAGGCACAGGGCGGTGGCTCATTACCACTTCAGCGCCTCCCCCCCCCTCCCCCCCCTCCCCCCCCCTCCCCCTCCCCCTCCCCCCCCCTCCCCCTCCCCCCCCTCCGCCCTCCCCCTCCCCTCCAGACCGCCGCGCGACCTCCGGATTGATTGTTTATCTTCCCCGAGTGTCCCCTCCCCGTGTCCACCGGGGCGCGTGGTTGGCGTCCGGGGAGAGGGGCAACCCCTTGCCCCATTGCCCAGTGCTTCGTCGCTCTGTCTCTCTCGCACTCACACCGCCCCCACGGACCGCCCCACGAGTGCGACAGAGACGGTGCATTATTGACACTCGGGCTGCGAAAAATGCAAGCAGTGGCGTCAATGGCGAGCGATGGCGAGGCAGCCAGGCGCGGCGACGCTCGTTGGAAACGTGACCCGGCGGACGGCCCGGGCATCCGACCATTTTACTGTCGTTGTTGTTGTTGTTGTTGTTTTACCTGGCTGACCTTGCCGACTGTTTTTGGCTGAGCACAGTGTGCGCGACCACGCGCGAGGGCCGGGACGTCGGCAGACGCAAGCCAGGCGGTCGTCTCACTGAACTTGCGCATCTCCACCATGCACTTGAGGTTGCTGCTTTTACCGGATGGCGTCAAGTTTTTAATTTGGTCTTGAAACGCTGGTACTTCTCTCTTCCCGGGCGCGAGGCCCGTCATCTTCATGAGGGTCGCGAAGACCATCGCGAAGACGCTCTACCTGGCCGCGGCTCGCGGCAGCTGTCTGCCAGCTGTGGCGGGGCCGCAGCTGAGAGAGCGGGACAGACACAGCTGGCCGCAGCCGCGCCGGCGAGCCTCCAGCCAGCCGCTCGGCTCGGCGGGCACGGCGGCGTGGCGGCGTGGCGGGGCCCAGCGCCCGGGCCCCGGGCCCCCGGCCGGCGTTCAGTTCAGTACCCCGTCACCGCCGTCGGCCGCAGCACCGCACGCCGCACGGACGCCGGTCGGCCGCTCCCGGTCCCGGTCTCGGCCTCTCGCGCGGCAAGAGGCCAGGCAAGGCCCAGCCAGCCCAGCACCTGTACGCGCTCCTTGGATACAGTGCGGCGGCGTCGCCGGAAAGCAGTGTCGTGGTGTGTCAGTGCAGTGAAGTGAGTGAAGTGCGAGTGCCGGTGAAAAAGGATACCTTCGGCCGGACCGCAGAGGATTAAAGCACCTGGTGAGCCTTCGTCCGTCTCCGCCTCCGTCTCGGTGTGGAGTGAGGCAACGCGTGCTGCCGTGCTGGCGTGCTGCCGTGTTCGGTCGTAAACAGACTCGCTGTAATTCCCCTGACATTTGGAGCGCCCTACGTAGCCAGCGTAGCCAGCGTAGCCCTGCCTCTAAAAGGCGTTCTGCGCGCTGCCGGCTTGCTTGGCGTGCTGGTCCGCCCACGGGGCCTTGCAGTGCAGGCTGCAGACGCCGAGGACGTGCGTGGACGTGCGTGGACATCACCCCGGATCTTCTCCGAGGAGTCTGCCGCCTCATTCCGGAAGATCGTTTCGTCGCTCTCTCTCTCTCCAACGGGGCGCCCCATGAGTGCGACGGAGACAGCGACGACGCCGATGTGCGGAATCAGTCGGCTGGTAAATGACGCAGCGATTTTTCATGACGCCGGCCCGTCGGCCCGGAGCCTACTGCCGGCCGGAGGCTGGGCCGTGTAACGCGCCGTCCCGCATGGCACTGCACTGCACGCCACAGCGCGCAGCGTCGGGGAGAGCCCCGGCGAAGGGCTTGGCGAACTCTTAGAGCCACACTTGGCAGAGCCGTTCGGTTTATGACACGGAACGCCTCATGGTGGGGCTGGCGGGGCCGGCGGCGCGACTGCCGCGCGGCGATCACAAAACGAAGAGAAACCCCAGCCAGCCAGGCGGGTACCTTGGGGTACCTGGGGGTACCTGTACCTGGGTCGAGGTTAGGCGTGGTCGACGGGGCACTCACACACACCACACACACACACACACATGCGGACGGGCGGGACAGCCGACCTCCGTGACAACACAACAGGCACAATAAAACATGACTCTCCAGGCAGAGAGCCCGCTGGCTCAAAGAGGAATAAAATGGAGAAAAATAAAAAGCGGCGGGCGGCCGTTTGAGCGCGTCCATGTCCAGGCCCTCCGGGGACGGGAGTGGGACTCGCTTTGTGCAGCACCGCGGCGTGGCGGCGTGGCGGCGTGGCAGCCACCTCCTGCCTGCCGACCTTCGACCCCACCGCGGTGCCTTCGGGTACTTGAAGCACTCCTCGCTGGTTGGGATGCAAAGTGTCGCATTGGAGGCCCGAGCTGCGTCCGGGAGCGGGCGGGCGGCACCGGCAACCCGCACCGCGGCGGTGACTTTTCGAACGCGGAAGGCGGACCGCGGTATCGGCTCCTCCTTAAGTGAATACAAACTACCCGCTTAGCAGACGCGCCTCGCCGCTGCCTGCAAGTGCCGAATCGTTCCGAAGCGTCTCTCTTCCTTTCTCACTCCCCCGAGAGTGCAACAGAGACAGAGCGACGAAGGGATGCTTCGGAATCAGTGCGCTGATGACACGATAGAGCTGCCGGGATGAGCGTCGGAGACAACCATCTGCAAAATGGACGCTTAGGCGCGAAGCGGGGCGAGGGAGACCCATAAAAACGGTGACGCCACCTCTGGGAGTCGAACCCGCGACCCGCGCCGGCTGCCTTGGTGTGCAAGCCGCGCTGCGGCAACGCCTGAGCAACGCCCGGCACCCGGTAGTGCTTCTGTGCAGGCCTCGCAGGAGAGCAACTCATTAATAACGGAGGGGCGTTTCTCGACGTGACGTGCACCGCGGCGCTGCCTGTCGGCCGGGACGGCGTCGGTGACGTTGTCGGCGACGGCCTCCCGTCACGGGGGCGGTGGCGATACGTCGGACGCCTCGCTGGCCGATCGGATGGCGTCCACGCCGTCCGGTGGAGCGAGGCGGCGGGTGGCGGGGGGCCAGGGTCCAGTTAGCTTCCCGCCAGCCACCATGACGGCCGGCCCGGCCGGCCCCGCCACGCCTATGTGTTCACGGCCCCCACGGCCCCACGGCGCCACGGCCCCCGCGGGGGCCTTATGGACCAGAAAGACTTTATGCATGCAGCGGCTCCCCCGGCGCGCGGTTTCACGCGGGGCTGCCTGCCCGGCCTGTCCCTGTGGAGACGCGTGCTCTAGTTCCGTCGCCCCGGCACTGCGCAGTGGGTCCGTGAACTTCGACGTGACCCACACATGACGACGAGTCCGGCCAGTCCGGCCAGCGCGCTGCCGCTCCGCGCGGTCCGCCGTCACGGATGGCGTCCGCTGGAGGTTCGGCCCCCCCTCCCCCCCCCCCTCCCTACGCCCCTTCCGCGATGCTCGCCCGCCTCTTCCGGTCAGGGTCACGGAGTGCACGGAGCCCGCGCGGGCACTGCGAGGCGTTTTTGGCGGGGCGCCGCAGCGCCGCTCTTCGCGCCATCGTCGGGACGGCGTCGTCGTCCAGCACGGCGTCGTGCTTCCGAGCCGCCAAGGAGAAGCGCCTGCAGGGCGCAGGGTAGGCAGACCCGCCGAGCTGTCCGCAGTGCACAGCAGTTCGGCGGGTCTGCCTACCCGACGCACTGCAGGCGCTTGGCCTTGGCAGCCCAGCTCGGAAACGGTGTCGGAAACGCAGTGCCGTGCCGGAGGACGCCGTGCCGGACGACGGGTGGTCCCTCACGGGCACGGCGCCCTCCGCACCGGAGCATGCCGAAGGAAGGGCCCTATCTTCCGATCGGTCGTTCCGTTTCGTTTTGGGGCTTTCGGCGCAGCCGCTTCTGCGGCCACGAGGAGGGGGTCGACGAGGGCGTGCCGTGCCGCGCCGCGCCGTGCCGCGAGGCTGCCTTTGTTTCTGTAGTGATTACTCACACGGCCGGGGACCTTTGACCCCATTTTCCATGATCGATGATGTTGGTCCTCTCGCGGGGGGCCTCGCTCTGTCCGCCCCTCTCGCTCCTCACCGCTGTCCGCCGGTCTCACTCCGGCCCGTGAAAAAGAAACTCCGTGCTGTCGTCCCCGAGGTGGAGTCTAGCCGCCTGCCGCCGCCTGCCGCGCAACGAGACTGCGAGCAATGCAAAGCACGCTGCACAGTGGGCCAGCAGACCGGTGGCAGTGTGTGGCGTTCCCACATCCGCCCTCGCTGTCGCGGTCCGCGGCCAGCGGTCTCATTCCACCGACTAGTCGCTGTCTCCGTCGCACTCGTGGGGCGTGCCGCAGAGGGAGCGACAGAGGCAGAGCGACCAAATAACGACTCCGCGTTTTCGGCGT